CGGAACAGCGCCCGGGCACAAGTACCTGTGTGTGAGCTCCAGGAGCTGTCGGCCCTCCTGCGGGTAATCCTTCCAGGAAGGGCTGCGGAGCTCGAGTCTGGATGTGGTGTGAGACGGTGGTGGTTCGATGCCAGGGGGGATGCACGTGCGATGGGTTGGAAGAGGGGTAGAGACACCCGGTTTCTGGTGGGGTGAGGCAGTGACAGCGAACTGATGGGGCGCAACCAGGAGCCAGCTCCGTCATGAAGACACGCAGGTAGGTGAGAGGACCCGGTTGTCGGAAATGGCCGTATTGTCAGTAGGTAGTGTTTCGTCGTTTGAACGTTGGGTAAACATCTACTTACTGGGTAGGCTTCTGCATCTGCATTTTATAATTTTCTCTGTGCACGTTTAATTACTTGCCTGAATTAGGAATGACGCTTTTAGAGGCTTGACAGCTTCCTGAGCCTGACCCACAGAATCGTTTGTACATCCCGTTTCCATGGTGGAAGGCGTAAAGATGGGGTGAACTGAAGTCTGTTCCAGTTGGTTTCCTGGGGGAGACAAAGTATTTCTTAAAATATTGCCCAGTATGCAGAAGTAAACACTGGAGAAAAGAGTTTCAATTTAAACTCTATTTAATGTAACATGCCCAATTTCTAATTCCTTTCTTCAAAAGTTTAACTGCAAAACGTTGTGGCTAATAATTGGTAAAAACCACTCCATATCAGGAGAAGTTCTTTTGCCTTACATCTTGTCCTGGGTGAAGACGTAATGTAATTTGTACAGTATTTGTTTTATTTCTCGGTGCCCTTCTTCTAAAACATTATTTTTTTAAAATCTGAAATGGGATGCTGAAAATTTCATTCAGCACCGTAACAGTTCATGGAGCGTTGTTTTGTTTAGAAGCTAAGGCTAGCAGGTGGTGACAAATGATGTATAGCTAATGCACTGCGTAGTAGGGATGAATAACTATGCAGAATGTGCTATTCCAAGCAACTTGGATCCTAGACATTTTTGGGGGTTTAGAGAAGGTGTGAAAGATTGTCAGAGATGCAGACCCATTTTTGAACTAGAGGTGAACTGTCTAGTATTGTTAGGGGAGCTACTGAATGCTGGCTCTGATAAGGTCATCAATGCAGAAAAAATTTGGATAAATGAAGTTTCATCTCTTGTTCTGTCAAGAAAACCCACTCAGATAAGTTAACTTTTTTCCTCCTCCTGCTCACCAGAAACATACCAATGAAGGGTGGGACATGTCTGTCTGTCTGACTGGAATGGGAGGTGTTTTTCAGTTTTTTGCTGTGCTTTTTAATTGAATTGCCATGTTCTTGAAATAGTGGGGTAAAAAAAGTTTTTGTGATGCCTCTAGCCTTCTCTGGCTATTGAGATGGTTCAGAAGGGAAGGAGAAAAATCTGTTCTATAATTAACAAAAGGTGAAGTGAATTTCATTGTAGTTGAAGGTAGTTCAGAAAAAAATTTATGTTTGCTCTTGTTTTAAGTAGGTGAACTTCAAATGTATTTGAATTTGTGATTAGAAGCTAAATGGATCTAATTATATGCACAGATGCTATGTTCAGTATAGGTTTTGGAATACCCTAGCCTGCGGGATTGCAAAACGTGGATATAACAGAGGGAAAAAGTTGGGTAAGACTTTTTCTAAGACTGGTTCTCTCTAGTTGGGTAAGACTTTTTCTAAGACTGGTTCTCTCTAGTTGGGTAGGTTGCTTAGAAAAGAGTTTTTTCTGCTTAGCCTTCTTGATCAAAATGGGATCACAGTGACACACAAGTGTAGAGTGGTTCTGGTGGACCCAACTGTAATACCTGTGAGCAATCCTAAGAGGTTTCTGAACACAGGTGTATTGTAAAATACTTCAGAGTGTTTTCAGCATAACCTTTTTTCTGATGAGGCCACTGGTAGCATGTTGTGTTGTGAAGCTGCAGGTCAGATCCCTCCCATTCACTGGAGATACAGTCTTGCTTATTTTTAAAAGTCTGGGAGGAGTTGCATATGTTTTGACAAAGGATAAAACAAGCATAAGGAAAAGAAGTACAGTTTGGAGGCTGTGGATTTCAGGACAATATTTAATTCTTTCACACAGCCCCTGCCCTTTACTGAGATCCCTGCTTTATAAAAGGTATGTGCCTAATGGAGAGTCTTTGTCCAGCTCTCTCCTGTAAATAGATGCTTTGCATGGGAAAGTATCCAGCAGTCCGAATAGTAAAAGTTGACAGATGAGAACAGTGCTGAAGTGCTGAATGGTTCTTTCATACGTGTCAGTGTCCTTTATTTGCATGCAAATACTCATTCTGCAGATAGTAACATGAAAAATCCTCTATTTTTCAGGTGGATGGCTTGAGAGTGCAATAAGTACTTGAGGGCAAAATCAGTGTGGTGGTATTCACTGCTGGTCTTTTCCACTTTCTTCTCTCTGTTTCGGACTTCTCACCCACCCAGTCAGAGGATAAAGCAATGATGTGATGTAGAAAACTTGTCTCACACCTGCAGTTAGTTCCGATGAGACTCTCTGAAACACATGAGTTTCTAAAATCTGTGTGTGAATAAACAAATGTTTTGTCAGACACCAGAGCTGATTCAGGGATGATTTATGAATAGCAAGGAGGGCTATGTGATAAGTAATTTATTTTCAATCTGACCGGATTAATCCAGAACTTTGTAAAATGAAGATTTTTGCTTATGCCTTATCCAACTTGTCCAAGCTATCAGCAATGAAAAAGTTTCAGAATCTGTGATCATTATAAATGCTTTTCTCCCAACAGATAATTACAGTTATGATAAAAGTTACATTTATCTCAGATGATTTCTAAACAAACACTGTACGTTACAGAAAGGTCTCTGAGAGGCCAACTGAGACAAAAAAAAAAGAGGATGGAGGAGAAGGAAGTGCTGACTTATTTCTGGAGACATTTTAGAGAATAGGCATGATGAAATGAGCGAGTAGTTTTTCTAAAGAGGTACGTAGGAATCCAGTAAAGAGTTAAGTCTAATATTACATCTTAAGAATCAGAAGGTGCCACTGAAGATGCATTTCTCACTAAATCATTTCTTTTTATCACCTCTTTTTTCACCTGTCATTTCATGACTTCAATTATCAAAAGCTTCTTTGGCAGTCCAGCTGTGTTCCTTCGTTCCTTTTCAGTATGGCTCTCTCTTCTGTCTATTCTGTCTACAGTCCAAAAGCTTCCTTAGTTTTGAGTGTTTAAAAGCTTAAAATGGTGGAGTGCAGGGAAACTATTTCACCTGATTGGCAATGTGGGATTGTAGGGCAAATATATCTTAGGAAACGTGATGCAAACTGAGTGCTCAGAGACTAAAATATTGCAGATTTGTTATGTACTTAAGTAGTAATTTTGATAAGCTTCACCAACATTTATCCAAACTTTGTTTGTTGTCTGTCTTACAGCAACATGTTATCCAAAATGCAAAAATGGTGGGGAGTGCCTCAGACCTGGAAAATGCAGATGTCCACCTGGCTATGGGGGTAGATACTGTCATAAAGGTGAGTAAAACCCAAACAAGTGATAGCTTGGAAAGACAAGAAGTTTGAAAACAGACAGAATTAATTTAGGACTCCTCAAGTCCAGGATCTAATATGCTTTGAAATAGTGACCTTAATTCCTTAGACCTCTGATCTTACTGTCAAAAAATGCATGGCCTCAAGGATCTGCCTGCTTGCAGGGGAATGGGGTAGATAGAGTATATGTACGGAAATGGGTTGTGGGAATCTGAGAGGATTTTGTCCCTTGGAAAATATCTTCTTTATGTGTTATGTAAACATTCCATTTAGCTGTACAACAGACCTTTTCTAAATAATTTAATGAGATGACTTGTATAGATATTATTTCTCTATTAGGTGGTTGAAACGTTTATGTAGTATCTGCAAGATGGTAATATTGAGGGCAAGTTGCTCAAGGTATGCGTGGCAGTTTATTGTTGATAGGTAATGGGAGATGACAGAGATGAGGAGTAGCAAAGACCCGTTTTACCGTTTTGTGAAGCCTATTGAATATATTCATGGAATGGAAAAGGCAATCCTAGAAAACATTGTTATGTTTTTATGAAATGATTAGACTACTGATGGTAACTTGAGTTCTGGGATAAAAGGGGAAGCAAACTTGAAATAGTTTGAGGGGAAAATGATGTTGTAGGCAAGATTATCCCCAGAGAGTGAGGGAGAAGAAAGTGTTATTTTCCTTTCAGAAGAAAAGTCTCAGCCTGGCACGTAAAAATTTTCTAAAAGTTCTTTTTGAACAGACACTGATAAATTAGTTAGGCAGTCATCACTGTGCTGAGAACTAAATAAGTGTTCTGTCTGACTGCGGTCACAGCAGCTAGCAACACCTCGCTGGATTCTCTGTTCATGCTTGATGTTTATTCTGTGGGCGTTTTCTTTATTTTCTTCAAATGTGAAACAGCTACAGGAGTTTACCTGGAGTGTAACCTGAATTGCTACTTGGGAAAGAGCTCGGGTAGCTTCTGCAGCTCTCTGGAGTCTAGTTGTTGTTGGATCATCTGAGGTGGGGTTTGTTTTTTTTGTGGTTTTTTTTTAATAAAGCTGTATTTGGTATCTTTTGAAGAAAGCATGACCTGAGTGTACTTAACATCATAACGTCTGTCTAAGTTTGCAGAAGCATAAACTGTAGCTCTGGGATGTTATCTAGACTGAACAGAGATTCAACTGCCAGTGATAATAATTTGATACTAAAATTGTTGACATTATAGAGGAATAAGATAGATGAGGAACTGTCTTCTAACGAGGATCTGCATAACACAGTACTGTTGTGTAGTGCACTGGGAAATAACTATTCATTTTGAGTAGACATAACAGCATTGACAACAATGAGGCAAACTGGAGCGTGGGCAGCATCAATTTCCAGCAAAAGGATTATTTTTTTTTTAATTTCTTAGAAGCCAACTGAAAGTGTAGGTTTGTGGGGTCTGTACAGAAGGAGAAATGACCTTCTCAAAAGAGCTTAAATTAGAAGCAAGGTGAGAGAAACTACTTAAATAGGAAAAGCAGAGTGAAGATTCTGATTATGCTAATAACTACAGTCTAGACTTGGATTTGTGTCGGGTAGAAGTCCTACATGTATTTGTTACCATGTTGTCCCTGTAAGGAAGGGATGTCATTGTGTTCACCTTTAAGGTGGAGCCCTGTGGCACATGAAGCCTGGATATACAAACCTGCATCGCGGTGCAACGTGCTATTACAGCATCGCACAGAATCACAGAATGGCTGAGGCAGGAAGGGACCTCCGGAGGTCATCCTGTCCAAGCCCCCTGCTCAGGCAGGGTCCCTACAGCCAGTCGCCAAGGACCATGTCCAAGGATGGAGACTTCACGACTTTCCTGGGCAACCTACACCAGTGCTTGGTCACCCTCACAGTGAAGCCATGCTGACTATTCCTGATGATTTTCTTGTCCTTCATGTGCCTGGAGATGGTTTCCAGGATCAGCTGTTCTATTACCTTACCAGGGATTGAGGTGAGGCTGACCGGCCTGTAGTTCCCTGGGTCCTCTTCGCCCTTCTTGAAGACTGGAGTGACATTTGCTTTCCTCCAGTCTTCAGGCACTTCTCCCAGTCACTACAGCTGATTGAATACAATCAATATTAAATACATTAACTTAGGCTGTGTGACAAAGAAATATGCAAAAGAGCTTTGAAGACCTTTTCTAGCTGTGCTGGAGTTGACTCGTGTGTCCTTGCCTGTTCAGCATTTGTGCCAAAAATCCATTAGCTGAAATCGTGCTCCAAACTTGCGGCAGAACGAGATTCAGATTTTTTTATACCAAGTATTAAGCAGACATCTCAACTGTTCATATTTAACTTATGATAAAGGATAATTGTTTCTCTTCAATACAGTCAAGGTGTTGTGTACACGTACACTCATGCTTGTGAAAGGACGCAGTTGATTGCACAGGAGAGTAATAATATATACAATGAGATTTCAAATATGGCACACACAGTTGATACCAATCGTACATCTGGCACAAATAATGCTTCATTCATGGGGCCGTCAGGAATTTGACATGTAGAATGATTCTGGAATGAGCAGGCTGACTTAGACAGTTGGTCTTTGGGAAGGCACCACTCGACTATAGTCATAGGTTCATTTGTCAAAGTAATATCCTTTTCTCTTCTTCCTCTTGTTACGTGTAGGTCCTGTCAGGTAGGGAAGTATGTGAATCCTTGACCACGTTACTGACTTGCCAGCTGTGATTTGGCAAGATTGATAAGAATATGCATGTTAGTAGTTACTGCGGTGTAGCCGATGAGCAGTGGTGTAGCTGATGAACAGCTGATTCACAGCTGGGGAGGGGAGGAGCTGTGCCATAGCGATAATTGTGTGTGTTTGTTGGTACTCTCAGGCTAAATGGTCAACAAGCTTTTAAGCACATGCTTAATTTTGACTGCATTTTGAGTTGGCATTTGCAGACGAGGTTCTGTCATCCTCACTCACAGTTCCTTGTGGAACTGTGCCTTGCAATGAATAGTTGAAATTTTAGTCTTTGCAGATGTGACAAACAAGCAGTTGATGACAGACCAGCTGTTTAGAGATAATTATTTAAAGTCCTATGCTGCTTCTGAAATGCACTGTTCTTCTGCAGTAAGCTGTGAAGGAGGCTGTCAAAATGGTGGGGAATGCATCTCTGTCAATGGAGTTGTGAAGTGCCTTTGTGCTTCTGGCTGGACCGGATCAAGATGCCAAGAAGGTGGGTGTCTACGTTCACATGCTTTATTTGTACCACAGGTGACTTAAATGCTAACAGTCCCTAAGGCGTGTGAACAAGTCCTGGTGGCAGCCTGATGAGAGGGCACTGGAAATAGAAATAATTTGCTAGATACATTATTAGAGTAGTCTTATTTTTTTATCACTGCATTCTCAAGAACAGAATTCTTACTCATTTGGTTTGTACAAAAGGCAATATGCAACCCTCGAACCAAATTAAACCCTGTCTTTCTCCTGGGAGAAAAGTTTGAAGGAACTCTTTTTTTCAGTTAAAATGCCTGTATTACTTTGCTATTAAATAAGGATAATAAGGTGACATTATCATGGTGTGGGTCATTCACAGTACCAGGTATATTTACATAATGAAAATATTGATATTGATTAAAAATATAACTGCAGTAACAAAAAAAAGTTAAAATACTTAAAAGGCCAATAACTATGGAAATGTCATTGCATTAATGTAGAAATGAAGGACCTACATTATTGGTACATACTCAGATAAAATAATGTCAAATTAGTTTGCATTACAATATGCATCTGTTAACATTTAAACCAAAATTCTTAACATGGTACATAGATATCTTTTTCCATTTCCATGGTCCTGGAAATGCCTTTAGAGTTACACCAGTTGAATATCTGGCCTGGAAGAAAATGTGTTTTACCATTTTGATTTGTATCATCCTGAATCTTTCATTCTGTCAGAATTCTTTTATATCAGTTTTATAAATCCTGCTGACTTAGCCATTCTTTTCTTCTAGCAATTTGTCCTCAAGGTTGTCGGAATAATGGAGCTTGTGTGGCTCCTGGGATTTGTAGCTGTCCGGCTGGATGGGTCGGTGGAGCATGTCATTTAGGTAAATGACTTCTGACATTTTTCGTTTGTCCTTTTCTCCACTGGTTTGATTTACCAACACAGTGTTCAAATCTTCAGTGTCTAACAAAGCTGCCAGGAAAGTATCTCAGAAGAGTAAATGAGACCTGCCCCTGTGTACTGGGGATCTTACAAGTATGCGTAAGGAATTGCTGGCTTTTCAGTTTGGTCAGAAAGACAGAGCTTTCTCACCTTAAGTAAATTCAGATTCAGATTTTGGTTGTCACCAAATTCATTACTTGCAAGTATTTCCAAAATACTTTCTATAAATCGAGACCCCAGTATAAAGAACTGAAGATGGCCATTACAGAAACACCATCACTACTGATGTGCGTTAGAAGCTTCATTAAATTTTATGGACATGGAAAATTGAAAATTGCTGTGCACTTTGAAGATAAGTCGGCAGAATCAGCTCCAGGTGCTCTTAAAAGAGTAAGAGAAAGCCGGCTGTAATCAGGATTAGTACTGACTGATATTCTTGCTGAACAACCAGTTGCGTTTTCCCAAATTTTGATTCACAAAAGCTGATGATGATTATAAAAACTTTAATCTACCCTTCTCTGACAGGGCCTTGCATGGTCAAAACAGCACTGCCCTGCTGCTAAAGGCAATAATCCTGAGATTGTCAAAAAGAAAGTTTTTTGGTTTGCTCTCTGGGAGAGAGAAAGCTCGTTTAAATGTTGCTTTTGAACTCAATATCGTGGGTGGAAGGTCTCCAGATTAAGTCCAGATTTTTGTGTGGCTGTGGGAATCCAAATGAACTAGTGTTAGTTCTTCTGCAATATATATAGTCAAGAAAACAGTAACAAATAATACTTCAACATTCCCATTTGACCAGCAAAATGCTTATCCTTTGTATTCATCAGTGTATCAAGATAGAAGGTGATATTAAAAGGTGAGCATGGGAGATGCAGAGAACTTACAAAATGCTTAGCTCCGTGTCCTGCTCCAGCAATAATGGAAGTGTTCGAAGGTTAGGAACACTTCATAGAAGTGTTCAGGTTCTTAATGTCAAAGTAATCACTGTTGCTGAACTAACTAGATCTGCAACCAGCTTGACTTCTGTTGGTACAGATGCTCATAAGCAAATTACAGCCCCTGGCTTCTTAACTGAACTGGTGTGTAGCTGGGGGAGACCTAAAGCTGCACCCAGTCAGTCCTCCTCTGCCCTGCTTTTGAGGGAGTTGGGGAACATAAAGCCAGTGCATGAGCAGCAGCTGGTATGTGGCAACTGTTTCTTCATGGATGTGGATCTAAGACCCAGCTTGAATAAGTTTCAGTAAGAATTTTTATTGTTCCCTCACTTTCATGGAGGCATCCATCTCAAAAATAGCCTGTGCCTTAAAGAACAACAGAAATGATAGTGTTTTAAAGGGGGAATGGAGCATGAATAAGACTAGACATCCTGTGGCTGTATTCCAGTGAAGGCCACGATGCTATAAATTGAGAGGCATTGCTTTTCAGTTCTTCCATTATGATTTTATTTATACTGTCCCAGCGCGGTCATCAGGGAACAATTCTGCTGGCACAGTGAGACAAAGAAGAAAAACGATCCTGTGTTGTGCTGAAGACATACTGTGTGTCTGGTGTCTCATTTCAGCTGTGTGTAAGCTGCCTTGTCAACATGGAGGAAAATGCATAGCTCCAAACGTGTGCAGATGTCGACTGCCGTACTCTGGTCTGCAGTGCACGAAGAAAAGGAAGGAGTGAAGCAACTTCAGCAAAGATAAGCTGCATTTCCTTCATGTAGCTCGTCATACAGAGATGAAGTTTGCAGCAGTGGGAGACCTCAAAGAAAACATGGTAACTGATTGATGTCAGATAGGTTTTTGTCTTCAGTATAATAAGTAAACGCTTTTCTGTATGAAGGAAAAGTATTGCTGATTGTAACAAAGCTGTTATAAGTATCCACGTGTGTGTAGTGTATGGCACATGTTTTCTTCTGTTCTCATTTTTCTTTGTAAGCAGAAGTATTATGTCTTGGTTGATACAGCTGACCTTGAAATAAACTTTACTCTTCAAATAAAGTACTTCAGAATAGATCTATGCTTTTATTTCTGATATTTTTCCCCTTTGACTAGAATTACTGCATTATATTAATGATGTGTTTTTAAAAAGCACATGAAACAAAGTGTCCTTAATTCAGATCATGAGAAGTGGATGTTAATTCAAGTATAATTTACCTTCAATAAGATTACATGGTTGCAAGACGAAACTTGCAGAGTTTGCATCTTTCTGGAACATCAGCAAGCTGCAAAGCATCTTATTAAAATCCTCGTTATTGCTTTATGTACGCTTCCTGCCCCTGCCCCCCAATCAGATGTGGATCTTGATCAGTTAAGCAGTATTAAAAAAAAATGAAACACAGTACTTGTTCAGGCAGTTCCACTGTTACTTTTGAAAAGATTCATCCACACTGATACCCTAAAAGAGTCCTTATCTTGACTACTTCTACAATCATATTATCTGATCATCTCTCAACTTCCAATTATTTCCTGTCCTTGTCCCAGTAAGACAGGGAAATGTGTTTATCTCCCTTCTGGAGAGGTAGACATTGATGATTCATTCCTATTCAAGACTGTGGTGTTACAGAAGTGATATAATGGGAGGATAAGGACTGGCAGTGAGGAAGAGCCGTGTCTGTCACAAATCGCCAATGTGGAGGATGATGAGGCCTGTCTTCTGGACATGTTCCTGTTTGGCCTCATTTAGCTTTTGCAGCCTTTTAAATGGGATGCAGATCAGGTTGAAACTCCTCCGTCCGTTGTTCCATGTCTCGCCTGTGCTGTTTCTTGAACGCTACAGTTGAGGAGGGTTTTGCCAAAACATGCAAATTGAATCAGTCAACTTCCTGAATTATACCCATATTAATTTTTTTTTTTGAGATAGATTGATTTTCATTGTCTTCCAGGTGAAACTGGAATTTTTGGTGGGAGAATTTTAACTATGCATTACTGTAATCCATTTCCCTATGCATTAATTTAATCCATTTGATGGAATAAGATTGTATCTGTGTTTAAGATCCTTTACCAGAACGTGTAGCTTTCATAGGCAGAGTGACTTACGTGGACATGTTTCTCCAGGGATTACAAGCCACTGAGCATTGACAAGAAAGAAAGGAAATAGGGTCTTCTCAGTTGCCAACCTTCTCTAAGAGACAGAACCCAAGCATACGGAGGGCAAACGAAAGACAATGGAAACAGTTTGCGAGACTCCCGTTTTCTGTTAACGAGCAATTGCTGTGTTGTGTGGTTGAGCCTTCCTCTGCCCTTGCTCTGGAGGCTGTTGCATTTGGTTCAGGTGACACCTGCTACGGACACGTGCTGTGCAGGTTTTGTTGCTGGGGCAGGTGATGGAGTAAGAGGAGCCCATGTTTTTCGTGCTGCGTTTGCTGTGATAGACTGGGTATTTCAGACGCGCTGGTGAAAAATTCATGCATGGAAAATGATTTCATCAACAGTTCTGGAGTGTGGTTTACGATGATGAAACTCTGTGTTGCGGTTCACTACAACAATCACGCCATAATTTAGAAATTCAGGAGTTAAGTTACATACCTTAGATGACATACTGGTTGCAGGGAAGTGAATGGAAAAAAATAGATTTCCTCAGACCCAAGATTTCAGAGTAAATGAGCAGAAGTATTTAAATGCAAAGAGAAGCATCTAAATGCAAAGAGGCATAATATCTCAGTATTGTTCCTGAAAAGACTGACTTCTACTAATAAAGCCAAAAGTGACAGTAACGGTGATTAGAAGCCAAAAGAGATAGCATCGTTAGGAGCATGAGACCAAGAGCAGTCAGTGAGAGAGACCTGTAATTGATGTTTCTGAGCTGGCCAGAACAAATGGTAATTTAAATAGTTCCTCGTTTAGAAATGATTGAAATAAGTAAGCAGTAATTTGATGGCACCCAGAAAGTGAGGGCATATTTTAGAAATACTGCTTGAATGTAGCACCATCTACTGGCTACAGGGTTTTTCATAGGATTTTTGTTTTGTTTTGTTTTTAAGAAAGACCATTTAAATCTCTGCAATATTTTAGGTGAGTTTAAAGGTGAATTTTCTAGTAGTTATTTTAAAGTAAAACAGTCTCAGAATGTGTTATTAATGACAGTCCAGGTCCCCAAGTTATTACTTCCATAGTTCCACATATATTTACTAAAGGAGCTGTCAGTATTCCTTGTCTTTTGTTTGTTTCCGACTCACTGGAGGATTAAACATACTTACAGCATGTAATTTTTGGAGCTAGATGTATCTTCCTGTGCAAAGCTAGATGTGCATGCAGCTGAAAGGTCAAGAAAAACGATACAGAAGAGGTTACCTCTCGTATTTATTAGAGCTAACTGTAACACTTACACAGATGCTCTGAATAAAAACAACTGGAAAAATCGTAGGGGTAGTGCACTGGTTACGTTTCTGATATTCTGTCTTTTTAGAGCATGTGTGGAAAGGTGAAAAGTGTCTTTTCTTTTTAATTTACTTGCATGCACATTTTACCATTTATGTTTTCCTCTGCTGTAAGTGGTTGTAGTAACAATGGAGTTACGTGGTTTATCTGTAAAATATCCTTTATGGGCTAAACTGAGCTGTGGGTGGAAGCTGAGTAAAATGACCCGACACTGCCAAGTGCTACCTTTATGTAAGAGAAACAGCATAAACATCTTTAGTCATTAGTGACATTTTCTAACCTCTACGTTTGGTTTTGTGTATGGACCCAGGTGCGAGGTTTTGTTGAGAATTTAAACTTTGGATTTTCCCATTTGGGCAAGTAATGGAGTGGATATAGCCAATCTGCCAAGTAGCTTAAGCTGTTATGCTGATTTACTTCAGGGTTTGTGCTGATTCTTCTTCACAGGTTTGTTTTTGGTAGATAGAAATGCTAACTCACTTTTATTCTCAGCTACAAGAATAGGTAATAAACCTTTGTAAAAAGAGCGAGCTTGTCATATGGGCCCTACATTTTTGTGTTTTTTTAAGTCACAACCAACACGGATATAAATGTAGGAAACGGAGTCCCTGCTGAGATCTGTGGTATCTTCTGCGATACGAATCCTTCCTTCAGAAAACAGTCATTACTCTGCATTTTAAGGATCTTCTTTAGAGCACAGGCAAAAGTCAACCTGCCGTTGGGAGAATTTCTGCTGGCCTGCAGAGCAACCTTAGTGCAATCAGATAATAAATGGATGACGTGCATAGGTACCTTCCAGCACTGTTTAGTATTTAAAAAAATCATGCAAGAAAATTCAGTGAAGATACCTGTATTCTGTGTAATGTGCTAAGAATCACGGCAAGATCTTCTGTTTGGCACACGTTGCTCTTCGTTCCATCAGAGTGGAACTGTGGCAACTCCCGCAGTATGCAACCCTTCTCCCTGCTTCCAGATCCCCTCTTTTGGGCCTAACTTCAGACTGCATTATGCAATTTTAGAACAATTTTGTTAGCAGGGGTACACAAGCCCTCTGTATGCTTCTGCCTCTAGTTAAACAGCAATTTCACTGCATTCTTGCCATGTGCTTTCTAATTACAATGAATTCTGTTTCATGTCGATGATGGACCATCTAGTAACAAAATACTTTCAACTAATCATGTAATTGCTGGGCGGTTTTGAAGTAGCTGTCTGTCTTTATGCATGTACTAGTCATTTTTGTGCATCATGTGCTTGCTGGAAAACAGCACAGCTTAGCACTATGTAACGACTGCAGCAACGCTCTGGGTGTGCTTTTGTTCGCACAGCTTGCATTTGGAAAATGTAAAAGAAATCATTTCTGCCTCTACGACCACAGAAAATAAATGGGAAACACTAAAAGTTATAATTAAAAACCCCCTTTCATTCAGCCTGAAATCCTAGAAAGGCATATATATATAGATGCAGTTTTGTGAATGGAGGGTTGCACAAACCCATTAACCAAAGAACTATTAACAGTGTTCCTGGCAGATGTTATCTCACTCTTTAGCACGCCACCTCTGTAACTGACACATGGAATGGGCGTTATTACAATATGAGATTATGCAATATTGGTGTGTTTGCATTTTAAAAACATTTTCAGAACCTTGTGTATTCAAAGCATCATCCTGAGGCATCAGTTCCAATAGCTCATCAGGTTTTGTTCATAGAGATCTTTATGAGTTGTGAGAAAGGGAACAGTTCAAGTGGAGTAGGTTTTAAATAATAGAACAGTTCCCAGAAGATCACGCTATCACCCACTTGGATGCCTGACTGAAAGAAACTATGGAAACACTGAAACTTAAAATGCAAGTGGGAAATTGAAAACAGTTTTTAAATACACCAGTCAGGCACTTGGAAATCCATCAGGTATCATTCTGGAATGATGCTGAGCTCTCAAAATGCAAGCCTACTTTGCAAAAGGACTTAAGAGGACTATCAAAAGGTGAGGAGAAATCTAGGCACAGAGCTGCTAATAGCTATGATTTGGCAATCAGCATCCCACAGTGGCAATAAATGGCAAAACGAGCTCTATTTTCTTCCCATTTAGGATTAGTGTATGTAAATTGAATATTACTCAGGAGAACAGCAAGTCATGACGTTTATTTTTGGTTTAAAAAAAACAAACCAAAACAGTGAACTTCAATGGCTTAGCTGAAGGAACCTTTGTATCTATTACCAAAACTCAGCTGGTTGTGGCAGGAACTGAAAAGTCTTTTGCAGCTCTAGGGGAAGATGATCGTAGTCCTCTGTAGGAAACTTCAGAAAAACTGGAATTTAGTTTTTGAACAAATACTCTTGCAGCTGGTAAGTGGTAACAGTTCATTGGAACAATAGGTAATGGGGAAAAAACCTCCTCTATGATGTTTTTACAAATATTTTCTGATTTGATGAATATGAATGGCATAATGTACAGCAAATTTCTCCTCTTATTAATTTCTATTTTAAGATTCAGCGTGGCTAAAAGCATTGTCAAATTTCTCTAAGAGACTCGGGGACAAGATTTCCTCATATTACTGAATGCCATCTCAAAACAGGGGTTTTGAGTCTTACAGAGACAGAAATCATTCAGCAGCTGGGTACTCAACTTTGTGAGTGTACGTAATGAAGTCAAAATAGAAGACTCGGTACCTGGCTACAAAGGTTTGCTGTAGGCAGACCACAATATTCTGCATCTGGTTGACTGCTAACTGATGATAACTTGCCTCCACTGTTAGTAGCCAAGCCTTGGTTTAGGTTCCTGCTCCTTCCTCTCTACTAGTTTGTCATTAGAACAGACTGACGCAAATACAAGACAAAGAAGAAAAAAATAGTTCTGCTTTTTCTTCTGTTCGCAGCCAAATAACAGAATGTAAACAATGTTTAAAACCAGGAGGTAACAGTCCCAAGTGACGAAGTGCTGCCTCCTGTCGTAGAGACAGCAGCTATTAGAGTCTTGTTCCCACACACGAAGTCTCATAGTCCAGTTGACTACATCAACAGACTGCAGAACTTTGGGTTTGCATCATTCACCAGATCTGTGAGCCCAGTGAAGAATCTGAGGCTGTGGGGTTTGTGCATGAGGTAGCAAAAAATTACAGAAATATACGTATATTTTAATGACTACAAGATTGTTGTTTTGAAGCTCACCAAAATTCATGACTGTAATACAAATCTTTTAAAATAATGCTTCTGGATATTCCTTTCATTTAAATAAACTCTGTAATCGCCTTCAACCCTCTTGCTATTTTCAAGTCTCACATGTCCATGCAGCATTGCAATTTAATTGATACGCTTCTTTCCTTCAGCCGTGATGCCTTTGTACCTTGGAGAGAAAAATAAACAAATAAACGTAAGAAGATACTTCAATGACATGGTCCATTTTTAAAAGTTTAAGAAACAATTTAAGAAAGAATTATTTCCTTTTTTAGGTCACATTTTGGAAATCCATACTGCAGACATTATAGTTTGGTCTTTATAGGATGTATAGTTTTATATTTTCAAAATGTGTATGAGCATTTATTATTTGTTTCAGTTTCTTGAACGTATTTGCTCCATCTCTAGCAAGTTATCTGCTACCTGACCACAAATGGTATGGGCATTGTATATTGGACTTCGTAAAACAGAAAAAAAGATCTGAACTTCCAGTAGTTTCAACTGGGAGAGACTGAGGCTGGATGAAAGTTAAAACATTGCTGTCTTCCCTGGTTTTCACCCATTTCTCACTAAAAATGCCTGGAGATCTAGCAGTCACATTTAATGTAAAACCTGTAAAGACAAAATGTGGCAAAGTACTAAAAAGAAAGGAAAGGTGGGAAGGACAGAATATGCTATTTTGGCTGCAGCAGGAGGCCAAAGAACTAAGTTGTTTTAAAAGAAAACACAGTACAGGTGTGAACAGTGGTATTTGATTAAAGATGAATGTAAAGGAAAAGCACCAGCATGCAGTGGTAAAATCAGCTAGGCTATGTCCCAGCTCCACCAAAGGAATTCTACTGACACCACAAGAGCGTCTAAATATCTTCAAATGAAAAGAAGAGAAACATCACAGATGATGCGAGAAGAGCAGAATGCTTTCTACTTCAGATGTCACAAAAAAGTTAGCTGTAATGACATGTTTACTTCAGTGAATGACTGTCAGCACTCAGGGAAAGGAACACAACAGAAGATTATGTGACAAAACAGGGAAACAGTCATCATTCACTATAACACAAAATTAAAGCTATTCCCAATGTTACACTTGGGGATAAGGAATGTGTGTATAAACCAGAGATGAACCAAGCAACAGTGTAGTCAGTTAGTTGAAAAAGGTCAGGGCCTGACTCGATGCAAGCTGAGAAAGTCAGCAGTGGGATACCCTTCCCCAAAATGGGGCCAGACGCTAGAAAAGAGAATAGTGGTTTTTATGAAGAGGATAGTTATCCTTTCCTGCTGCAGCCACTTAGGGGATGATTTAGAGATAATCAGCTTAATTTGACACAAAGGAAATTTACTTTAGGTGTTGATAAAATTCTGTAAGTATTAGAGCCTATAAAGTTCTGAAATAGCTTTTAGGAATTTTATGAACTTTCCCTCACTGGAGACTGAAAGGAGGAAATGAGACAAGCACATGTGGTATATTTCATGTTACTTCAATGGACAAGGGTGGACCAGATAGTGACTCCCGGATCGCTGTAGCTGTCATGGTGTCATTCTACAATTACCTGAATTTTCTTCCCACAGAGGACTCCAGTATAACCAGGACGACAAGAGCATACGTTAGGCAACACACACTTGCCTCCAAACAGGCACTTCTGGTTGCACACAGCTAAAATAAGAGAGGTACATATGTGGCTTTACTCATGAAAACAACTTGGTGAAGGAAACATGGCTACTACCTCTATATACTTATTCAGCCTGCTTTTAGGAGCTGAGATAAGTAGGTATTTTCACAGGGAAACACCCCTCAGTGCAAGAAGTCATACAAAGCCAACAATGTTCTTACGATTATCCCATCCCCCTTAGGCTTTGATGCAGATTTAATATGGGAACATGCTGAGGGCATGAATGAAACCAAGACAGGGACATGAGAAAGGTGGGGTTTTAGCACACTCTACTATTTCAGGCTACTGCAATGGCCTCTGGGCTGCTGCAGCAGCATACGGAGTCAGAGCAAGTCACCACATACTGCCATGGTCCCAGACTACCATCATGTCCGGAGGGCTTCAGAATGGGCAGAGGAACCTCTACCCGCCTTATCCTGCCTTTGACACAGATTTGGGTTAAAATACACTCAAGATGTAGGACTTTTGTAGGCACTATGTATTGCTGAGGCAGTCTTAACCGTGCTGAAGCAAAAGATTGACAGGTCACATCATTCTTACGTGTCTGACACTGGATTCCTTCCCACTGCGGCGGACAATGACACGTGCTCGGCCCAATACACTCCCCACCGTTCTTACACTCCTGAAGACAGATAGCTGCACAGACATCATCACAAAGTTTGGTTATATCACAAATTATTACTTAGGTACATTTCAGGATGCCCACGAGAGGTTGAGTATTTTTCATACACAAGAATCACATCACCTTCACTGAAAATCTGTCTGAGATCGACGGGGTATTAAAGAAGAGAGGCAACCAGAAACAAAAAGCCCTGCAGCCAAAGCACGCGTCGAGATGTTCTGAGGCATCACAGATGCTACAAAAGCCCCAAACACTGAATTAAGTCAACACCACTGAAGAGCTTTGTTTTTTTCCAAATTTACCTTTCTAAAACCCACATCTTAGTGAGAGATCTTTTGTCTATCATGCAATTAAACACACAGTGAATCAACTCATGAATATTTGATCCACAGTTATTTTCTATGACTCATTTTTCTGCACATTCATCCCTGCTTATTAAGCCATAATCTAAAATACTATTATTTCTCATTGGTTAATTGACTGTTTGGTAATCAAATCTCTCTTTCACAGTGTCCAAGAATACCTCACCCCTGTCAATATGGGTAACTTTTTTTCAATAAAACTTTCCAATAATTACAGAAAGTAACACAGGGAAAATTGTTTTTCCTCCATGCCATTAGAGAGCTCATTGGCCATATCAATATCTGAGCCTCGGGTGGGTACTATGACAGACACTAACACTTTATCTATGTGATTTCTACCACTCATCTTCATGCTGATTTTCATGCAGACTGTGCTTTTATCCATGCTGCTTCATATGTTTTACGCACCATCAATATCTTCATTAAGATACAATGTGACCCACAGCTGTGCTACCATCACAGTCCTATTTCTACCTTTCCTAAAAGAGCTTGTGCCCATTGCATCTTCTATTCCAATCATTTCACACTATGTTTCCACAGTTTTGCAATCTTTCACTGTACTACTTTTTCTATTATATCTGCTTTTCTGTCCTACGGCACAAATTTAAATCGTTTCACTTCATTGACTCAGCTCTTTGCAGCTGTGTGTATTCAGAAACACAGATGCTTCTTACTTAGACAAGAATTAAGAAAGAAATGAGTATTTGCTAGACAAGAATTTAACAGATATTTTGGTCTCACGATTTAACCTAGGAACTGCATGGTGTTAATTCTCCACCCTAAATTTTGCTGCCAAGTTATAGGCCATTTTTTTTTCCAATATGTGTATATTCTTGAGTTCTTTGGCACTAGCTTCACATTACTTGTATGGACAGAGTTGTCCTTTAGTCACAGATTACTTTTAAGATACTTACGTGTGTTACATCTTTTTCCCCTCCATCCTGAAGGACAAGAGCAAACGTTTGGCCCTACACACTTTCCTCCATTCATGCACCTTGGCTCACAGACACCTTAAAATCAAGAACATCTGCCGTTTAATACATTTAACTGATTACAGAATAACTTATTGGTTACTTTCAGATCCTGGAAGGATTTTAACACCGGCTTACTTTTTTCACATCTTCTGCCTGTGTACCCATTAGGACAAGTACAGACATTGCTTCTCATGCAATGACCACCATTCTTACAAGGTGGGCTGCAGACAGCTAGAAGATAGAAGCAGGAGAAAAAGGCTGTAGTTTGCATTTTGTTTGCCTTTGCAATACAGTTCTGGGAAACAAGAGCACAACACTAAAGTTCTGATAGTTTATACAGACATTCAGGTCTGTCTAGTTAAAATCATATTAATGTGGATTGGTGCCTACGTCAATAGTAAATACAAAATCGGATAAAAAAGGGATTGATGTTGGCAACTGTATGTGTACATGAGTAACCAGACTACATAATATACAATGCAACTGGCTGAACACTGCTCAAAAGTTGAGTGGAAGACAAGCATATTTTAAGTCTTCCTTCTCCTTGAACATTCACTAATCAGAGATAAAATCTAAAAACCAATGTAATCTCTGTTTCATACCAGTATGTGACTTGATTGTGAATTTTATGTCTGAAGATAACTGTGTTTTCTCACAGATTTCCTTATAATAGCAGCTAAGAAGGGAGGGGAAAAAAAAACAAAGGGGAAAAAAAAAAGAAAAGAAAGATTACCATTCTGACACTGTGCACCAAAGAATCCATGTGGACAGAGGCAAACATCTGGCTTAGTACAGGAACCACCGTTGAGACACACAGGGTCACACATTGCTGCAGAAAAAGGGTCAGGAGGAGTGGGAAGCATGACCACCAAATAAAGTCTATAAAATAAGTGCTTCTGCTGCAAGGACAGGAATTAAACACCTAAGACAACTGCAGGTAACACCATTCAATTAAAATCTTTACCCAAAATTTTTGAGATCAGTGAGACTTCCTAGAGGAGCTGTTGGCAGCAGAACTAACATGTAGAGACAAGAAGGAAGGCAGTGGCTCTACAGCAGTAAGCAGCCACTCATCCCTGATGTCTGAGCCACGTAGTTACAAATTTCAAACTATGGGAGTTCCTACAGATGCTCTCCCAGGAACACGGAAGTTGCAGGAATGTTACCTGTACTGCATGTAGGTCCGTACCACCCAGGTTTACACTGGCAGATGTCTGGAGTAAGACATTCACCACCATTTTCGCAGTGTCTGTTGCAAACCACTACCATCCAAGAAGATGAACAAAAACAAAGGCAGGGGGAAGGCAGAGAGGAGAAAGAGATGTGTTACAAATTATACTTGATTCGTTTTTCAAACAAATTTCAATTTCTTTCCCAAATATCAACACTAGAACTAACATACAATTCCACTGGTTGAAGAGGAATTGCTGAACAGATTAATCCAGTCTTAAAGCCATAAAAAGCAAGCACCAGACTAAAAAGGTAAATAAAATGCTTTTGTATGTAATTATCCATGGTCTGGTTATATTCAGTGTTAAAAATCTAGAAAATTTCAAATAAATTCTGAAAAAAATTGGAAATTCAATACTAAGAGACAAACGGACCATGTTACATGATGGATTTGACGGACTCCAAGAGAGTTCACTCAAGTGTCCTCTATCATTTCAGCAAGTGCAGCTGCACGCTTAGAGTGGCACGAGACTAACAAGCCAAGACATTGAAAAATCGTGGCTGTGGAAAACCATGAATCACTTCTTCAGGACATCTCATTCTCTTTAGTATTACTTAACAAAGAGCAACAACTTTTTTTGTGTCACAATTGAAATTAGAACAAGAAAAACTGAGAATGAAGAGCCCTGGGATTTGAGGACGAGATGAACAAAGGAGTTTTTCAATTTGGTGTCAATAATGCAGTGGCACGTTCAGGTGAATGATATATAAACAGCACATCTAAATTTGACTCTCTGAATGATAAAAATTACCAGCATGAAATCTACCTAAAATTTGGAGTTGCCAAATTGTAGCATGTAGAATTTGATACATAAAAGGCAATTTATGTGAGACTAACTAATTAAAATTTTTCAGCCATGATCACAGCAAATTTTCTTATTTTTTGCTCAGGTAAAAAAAAAAAAAAAAAGATCCCATAATGTGGTTCCGAATTCAGTTTTCCTGTATCCCAGTTTTTCTGACCCATCATCCACTGATACCAACTTCTGAATGTACCTGAGCATCTAACCAATTTAAGATGATAGAAATTAAAAAAAGCTGTAAGGACATATTAAACATCTGTGTTTGTTCTGAAGGTAGTATCACACCTGCAACGTGCTCAATGTTTCCATTATATTATAAATTATAAATAATAAACTATTTGCAGTATTTACAGTATGTTATGTTTTCAAAGTTATGTGCAAATATTACCTAACTAATGTTTGAAAAGCCCAAGTATAGGAGCCTTCAAAGAGACACAGGTATTACATCATTTGCTAGCAGTAGACAGAGCGCATCAAAAATTTAAACCATTATTTTCTTTCTTGCTCCTGAAGAACAGGAGAAATGTCCTGTGTTCCTCCTTTATGCTTTTTTGCTTACTTGTATCACATCTTGGTCCCACAAAACCATATGGGCAGGTGCAGAGATTTCTGGCCAAGCATGTACCTCCATTTTGACAGGGTGGTTTACAATGTGCTGCAGATACAGAATTATGCTGTTCAAGAAATCACCTCTAAAAAGATGCATGAATTCCTTATGCTTTAGAAAAATGGGAAACGTTAATAATTGACAGTGAGCAAAGAACTGGAAATAAAAGAAGACGACATATGCAATGCCTTTTGACAAGAATAATTAACAAGAACAACTTAATTCCAACAGAGTACACAGAGTCCCAACAGTGGTGGTCACCCTGAAGAAAAGAAATCCGAGTGTTTCCAGACAGGACTTCCCACTCTTTGGGAGGGTTTAGCTTAGAGGCATTTACATTCACTGTTGAACTCCTCTACTTACTATGAAAGCTAAATTTAGGAATATCCAATCATAAGCAACATTTACATCATGTATTAAAAAGAGTAGGGTATATACCAATCTGTTACTCAAAGAGTTCTGTTAAAGTAAAATGAACACACCTCTCTGCTGTCAGAATGAACAGTCATGGAAATTATTTACAGCATCCTTGGAGTATTTATGGATTCAAAAGCAAAAAATACTCTATTTACCTTCCTCACAAGAGGAGCCACTGTATCCTGGTAGACATTCACAGACATTTGGTTTAATGCACTTCCCACGGTTTTTGCAATCAGGTCTGCATAGAGCTGTGCAAAAATCAACAGTAATCTTCAAATCATTAATTTGTGGATATGAGTTACCACAGGCTAAATGAAAATGCCATACTCACCGGCCTGACAGTTATACCCAGTATAACCAGGCTTGCATTTGCAAATATTGGGTGCCACACACTCCATATTCTTGCCACATGTTTGTCTACATCTTGCTGAAAGGCAATGAAGAAAACAAAGAAAGGAATAAGCAAAATGAAAGTGGCATTTCAGCACAACTGTGTCTTGCCTAATGTAATGAACAGATCACACAGAATCCATTAGGTCTCTGCCCCTAAGTGGGGAGCCTGAGACATATCGGAAAAATATTTTTAAGTGCACCCATACAAGCCTGTAGGCTATGCCAAGGTTAATAATGAAAATGAGAAAATTCAATACTCTATGCATTTCACTGATCACACAGTAACAACATACTTTCAAGTTATAAAGATGCCACAAGATTCTTTTTTTGCAAAGCATTTAGTGCATTTATTTGAAATACCTCTGCAAGTGAAGCCATCTCCATAATAACCATAAGGACAACGGCCGCACTTCACTCTTCCATCCTGACTTGGCTCACAAGGTACACCAGGAAAACAGGGTAAATCGGTACAGGTTCCTGCTTCAGGAATCACTATTTCACTCAATTCTTCAGGAAACATTTTTGGTGGGACAGTGACTTCAACAAGGACAAAAGGCAAAGGACTCGCATTATGCTTGGCTAATAGGTGCTGAACTCTGTGAGCATTTCCACTGTTGAAGGCTTCGCTTGGCAAAGAAAGCCCTTTGCTTAAACTTGTTTGGCTGCTAGGAGAAGTCTTACCGCTGGTCCCAAAGTAGCTGTAGGCCTCAGCTTGCACCCTTGCTTTCTTCTCAGGTGATACAGCACGGCTCCTTGAAGACGCAGTGATCACAGCATGTACGGAAGAACTCTCTTCCACGTTAGCAAACTGACCACTGATGGTGCCGAGAGCACGAGCAATGTTTCCCATAACAGCAGGTTGTACAGAAGCACTTCTCCAAGAATCAAGTGACTTCCAAGCAGTGACTGTTTCTACTATGGAGGCTGGTGGAGTGCTGCTACTGACCATTTCTGTAGAAACAAATCTCTTGAGGACATCTGTAGAACTTGGAATATTGCTTGAGATGCTTGAAACCTTCTCAAAGGAAGACTTTTGAAAACCTACAGCATGTTAGAAAGAAAGGGAGAAAAAAAGTATAGGAATATTATGAGACTTTTTTTCCTTCTGAGGGTAGGGAATAGCTTCTTAACAGAAAAAACATACAGCCTAATCATTCTGTACTTCAGGAAGTCTTTCCATCTGCTACACCAGAATGTATCTATGCAGTAGAACCTGACTCCTAACTGGCAGAACTAGAGAAGATCAAGGTATTCTGGCTACGTCCACTCCCAACCTCACCATGGCTTTTTTTTTTGGCTGGAAGATAAGGAGAAAGCACCATATATATGAGGCAGACTGCAGAGATTTTCGTCTACTGGATCAATAAACAGCTTTACTATCAGAGCAAATTACCAGCTCCAAATACTCCTTCCAACTAGATAACTGAAACAGAGTTTAAAGAGAAGATAGTGCTTATGGTTCACCAGTGTGTCTAAGTGCTAGTAATAAGCCTAGAGTTTAGAAGCCGATATTTAATCATTTAATCACAAGTACATACATGCTTATACTTACTGATACACCATGGACAGTATTTTAGATGAATAATCCACCACCTTGTAGCAAAAATCTTACCATGTTTTACTCTCCAAACTTTTTTATCACCTTTCTTGAAGTTTCTGCATGAGCTTTATTAGTGGGATGTTTCATGTGTTTTATAAACAACAGAGACCGACTCAGCCTCCTGGTTGAAAGGAGTGCAAAGTGAATGAAAAGTTCTTCATATTCTGCCCAGGAAAAGTGGGTAGTCTGGTGGGTTGTGGAGAGGAGTATGGCACTGTAATCCCAGAATGGCAGCATGCTGTGCTTTCGGCACTATGGGGCAGAGGAGGAGTGAAACTGGAGATTATCCAACCTAACTTAAACTCTGTCCCTAACCCCATTTACAACGGTACTAGGAAACAGTCTACAAAAGGTTAAACTTTACTGAATCTTATTACAAAGTGCTGTGTCCCCTGCTGAAAAGCAAACCATTTTGCAGCTGATGAAGAATTATCCAGCTCTGGCAGCAGAGTGAGAGCGCTTTCCTCCTCCCCCACTAACAATTCAGAGATAAAGGGAAAAGACACATGAGAATTTCCGGCAAAGAAAGTCCCAGCAGGCCCAGAGTTGGAAATGCCAGCAACAGCGTTTACAAAGTTTTGGAATTAAGAATGTTCACTTGCCATATCCTTCACCTTTCCTTTGAGTTAAAGTAGGAAAACGGCAGTCGACATAAGGCCATAAACTTTTGCTTATCTCATATAACAGATGTCCCTATCCCCCTGTTACCTGTTTCATGTCAGCGGTTAGTCACAAAAACAAAAGGCGTCAGTAAGAATGTCATACATCACACTGTCAATAAAATGACTTGACTGACCCAAGGGATTTGTTGGTATTGACATTTCAGTCTCATTTTTCAGACCAGAATACAACCCCAGTAATGAATTAAATCAATTCAAATTGAAAAATTAAAGTGAATAACATAAAACTGACTAAAATCTCTATTTGTCAGCTCTATTCTTATCAGTATGTGAATCAGAAATTACATTCGTTTTCTTCATGAAAAAAATCACCTTTATTCCCTCCAATTTCTCCTGTGGAATCCTTTCTTTCAACATTAATGTCTTCAAAGCTTTCTGAAAACAAAATCTGTGTTTTGTTTCAACTGCAAATAAATTACAGAGTTAAATTTTTAGTACATAAGAATAATTCAAAATTCAGAAAGCAGATGAAGAGTAAAAATTGTTTCTTAAAAGTTTTCAACAGAGTATTTTAAAAATACAAACTATTCAATAATTACATTGTAAATAAATGTTTGGGTACCTTATTTCCAAGTCCCTTGATTCGGGTAAATAGCTCTATCTATGTTAAGCAATCTAATAGGAAAACATTTTGTCAATAATGGCCTGGCTGAAAATAGTGCAGAAAAAAAATTAAATTTGTATTCTCTTTTTATATAAAAGAACTAGGGTATTTTGTAGCTATTTTTTCTAGTCACCTAAAAAGTGTTCTATAACTTTTACGTGACTCAGTGCAGTCTGATGTCACCAACTGAGATTCTGTCCCAGCTGTCAACAAAGACACAGTCGTCCTGTTTTGCTGACTACTGAGAAGAGTTCAAGGTTAGTTACAAACATGAAGCACAACCAAAGATATTTTATCTGAATGACCATAAGATAATCACATTCTTATGAAAAACAAATAATTTTACCATAACATGACTTCACATCTCCTTGCAGATTATTTGGGCATGGACCACAATAGTAAGAACCAAAAGTATTGAAGCAAAACACTCCAGGGAAGCAAGGATTGGATACACATTCATCTACATCATCTTGACAGTTTTTACCTGCATTGAAATACAGATTTTTTTTAAAAAAATATGGCGTCACGAGACTTTGACAGTATGTTTAAAAAAACATAAAAGTAGAATGTACGCAGGTGCTGAAACACAAAAAGGGCATTAGCAAGTGCAATGAAGTATTTCAGTACATCTAATAAGTACAAGTGACTACATTTGCTATTCACATTTTTTCATCTTATATCAAGTATCTTGCTTATTGCAGAGTAAGGAGAAGACGGGCTGTGGGGACTACATGTTTATCTGCAGGCGTAGGAGGAATCACACTGTAACCAAACTCATCACTCCTATGTTTCATCATGTTGCTGAATTTACCTCTGCAGAGGAAAACAATGGAAATTTGCTTTCATAATATAAACAACCATTGTATTAACGCAAGAAAAAATCTTGACATATATCATATAACTTTATCTCAAGACCATAAAATTTCTTCATACTTCAAGAGCAAGCTATTTACAGTCAAAAACTAAAAAAAGTATGTAGGCATAAAATTAGAAACATCTATTTATCACTAAACATGATAAATGTATGTAAATAAAGTAGCAACTTACCTCGAAGTTCAGGTGGACATTCACAGTAATAGCTGTTTATTCCATCCACACATCTGCCAAAACCACACTGGTTAAGTTTACAGTCATCAGTATTCACTTGACAGAGATCACCTTCAAATCCAGCCACACACACACAAAGGTATCTTCCACTTCCAGGTGGGAAACTGATGTTTGTCACGCATGAGCCATTATTTAGGCAATCACATGATTTTACACTGACCTAAAAGACATGCCCAATAAGACAGTTTTCTTTTTTTAAATGAACTAACAGTGAGTTTTGTAATTAGTTATCTTAAACATCTTATTAGTATGTGTCATTTTACTGCAATATTCATTACCTCTATTTCTACCTTAGTCTTCGCGTTGCAGTCATCTGTCAAAGAAAACGTTAATTTATGGGGATTCATTGACACAGCTTTCCACAAAAGTAGACCTGATGGGGAAAGACTGGCACCTTCTGGACCAGAATCCAAAGTGAAATGAATAGCAGAGCCCTCTGGATCTGAAGCCGAAAACTGATACACTAAATCTTCGCCATAAAAAGTCCGCAGCATACCCTGAAAAGTTTCAAGCACAGGAGGCTGGTTGTCTGTAACAAAGAAGACATTTTCTCTTTTAAGCAAAAGTTGCAATGCACATATAAAAATTCAAAAGGAGCATATCTTTCTATTAAGGAAGTCACATGCAATTATTTCTCTTAAATTCTGATGTTATTTGAATGGCACAGGAAAAACACATTATAACTGCAACAACACAACCAAGAAATTCCTTACACTACACGAGAGCTTATAAAGATGCATTGCTTCTTTACACAAAAAGAATTCAGAACTTATCGAATTTAAACACTGTGTTTTGACTATGCAGAGACAGTCTGCAGATGAAAGTATAGGAAGCCATAAAACTCAGAGGTGATTGCTGTTTCCTTTAAGAAATGAACGGACATTGTTAAGCAATCCTTGGGAATGGGCTGCAGAGACTATCTTAGCAAAACTGAGCATGAGGTGATGGAATAAGTCATTCACTCACCATTCCTTGGAAGGACTTCAACCACACAACAACTTACTCACTGGTAAGATATTTAGATGCTTGTACTGTTGAGCTATAACCTATCTGGCATGAGTAACTAGATCTCAAGAAAGACCAGGTGAAAACAAACAAACAAAACCCCACTGCACCAGGACAGGTTCTGTGAAAGAGAGAAGCAGAAGCCCTGAGGAGAGTGTAGGTCTTGAAGATGGGACATAGGAAGGTGATTAAGATCATTAAGTTTTGGGTTACAGTGAAGGGATCGCTCCAAGGAGGAACCCACCCACTGTGGCAGAAACTACCTTAGAGGGAAAAGAAGCCATAATCAGTGTCCCAGCAGTTAGATTCTGACACCCTGTTCCTAACATCATCCAATCTAGAGAAGAGGCTGTGCTCTTTGATTTTGAGGAATTGCCTCTGGTGTACATTCTTCTCTCACTTCTGAGAGAAGAATTCCAGTCCACGGCTGCAATATGGAAATCCCTTGACTCCCTGACTGCTGGATGAGTTTTATTCCATTCATGTTTCATTCTTTTGGAACAGGTATAGCTACCTTGGCTTCTAGTATAGGTTTGAACGAGGAAAAGATTCAGCAAGATAGGCACTAGAAGTCCCACTCATGCATGACCCTTCCCAATCTACACAGAGTCTTGCTAGCACATTCATTCATGAAAACACAGAGAACTGATGTATTTGAGACGTTATGGACTTGGGCTGATGGGGCAGGATGGATGGCTACTAGTAAAGCCCCAAGAGACATCCCATTTGATGCAGGGACTGATACAATTTGTATATCCAAGGTCAAGATCTGAGCCAAAAGAGCTAAAACGTCTAGGCTAGAACTTTGTACTATGGAGGAGGAAAATGATGAATCTAGATTGAGGTCACACGTTTCCTAGTGTGGTTTCTAACTGGACTGAAGTATGATAGCCTTGGATATACTTTCAAGTATTTGTTTAGGCCATGTATCTATGCCATCAATGTGAATTATGTCCAAATATTAAGTGGTTAATAAATGAGACATGCCATTTAATTCAGTTTCTTGTGTTCTCCCCTTGTTTAGAATCCAAGTCAGTAGTTGGAAAACAGTTTTTATTCCTAAATGTTGAAGACAAACATTTGTGGATGTAGCTGTGCCAAATATCAAAAGACTGCAAAGTGCTAATTAGACCAGGAGTTGTTAATTTTCATTAGTTATTTCTGATGGCTACAGGGTGAAGGGAAGCCTGACTTTTATCTATATTGTCTGGAAAACAAAATATCATTTTCAGAAATTAGGAGAAATGTCAGATGAAAAACAAGATCAAATTACAAGCTGAAGTAGTGGGTATTGAGCTTTAAATTAAATACTTTAAGTTAAACTTAAAACTTCACTATTTCCAAACACTTTTTTAAAAAATAGTAGATTTTCAGCTTCTTGCTATTAAAAAACTCTTCAGAACTTACTTTCAACAACTGACCATGTTAACTTTGATACGTCAGGTCTGCAGAGCAAGCAAGGGCTGGTTGGATTTGTGTCACCTTCACCGTAACAGAGTCCATCTATATTGCATGTTTTCTCCTTTTAGAGAAATGACAATGTAATAGATTAATTTTTGGTTACCAAACAGTAAATCTGGGTGAATTTGTAAAGCATCAAATACAATCTAATCTATCCCGTGCTTCCACAAAGCAACTAAGGTTGTTTTTAAACCTGAACAACTGACAGTGCATTTGACTTTATTTGGCAATTATATGAAGTGCTTTTGTTTTGATTTTTTTCTTCAAAATTGCCTAATCTCAGCTTCTCTTTCTGTGCTTATCATTTCCGTGCATGGAAAATCCCTGCTGGAAACAAGAACAGGGTATGTTCTGCTGATTTTTCTAGATTTTTTTTCTGCCAGAAAAGATGCATATTTTCATAATAGAGAGAGTAATAAAATATCTACCTTTAATGTACATAACCCCGACTCCTGTGTTTCACATGTCTGACAGGCTCCATCATATAATATCATTGTTTTAGAGTTGCTATAAATGAATCCATCATTAGAAATCTGCAAGATGTATAGTATAGTAAAAATTATTAACCCATACAGAGAACAACATATCACCGGCATGCACTGCTAGCATGACACTCAACTCATTGACAGACACCCATGTTCAGCTGTTTAAACTCTCATAATCTAATCAATCCTTCCAGTAAGCCTAGGCAGATATTTGACCAACCACATGTAGGCGTCTAATTTAGGGTAAATTGAATAGTGTGTAGGCTCTATTGACCTTATTGACTCAATCTACGTGAGATATCAGATACCTACCTCACACAGAGATTCATGCATCTAGACTGGGCTCAACTCAATTTTCCCATAAATGTGTCTAATGTCATTTGAAATGCTCTTGGGTAACTATTCGGCCTTTAACTTCTACCCTTGAAGAATGTGTGTCTCTGTAGGTTCTAGGTCATATCTACCAGTCCCCTTTCAGGGGAGCACTTTCAAATGGCACTTAAGACTTAAGCTGAGGTGACGAGACTAAGACCACAAGTTAAGCAAGCTGAGTTCTACCCTTAGTACCACTGTAAAAGGATAATATCTATCTAATATATTTTTATCTTAATAGGAGTACCTGTAAGTGAATATTTGAAATTTCTGTGAGTACCTTTATTTGCCACCTGGCAATGGGTTTATCATCAACCAGATCCATGACATCAGACTGCTGGCCATCACTTGGTAACTGGCAGTCGACAGTCCTGGCATTTTGGAAGGCAGCTGGCATAGTTAGAGGTTCTCCAGGAATCCATTTGCTATCACTATACTAAATGTTAAGACAGATAATCTGTTTTTCAGTTAAATGCATTATGAAAATATTTTAATCAGAGAAAATACATGCATTGCACAGTGTTTGAACATGTCTAATGCTTCCGGACTAGAATCCAGGGGGAAATATTAAATGCCATTATTTGCACACGCAGATTTCTACTTAAGCCTTTCACCCTGGAAGAAAAGGCAGAGTAGTCTTTCCTGCCCTATGGCACTTTGGCACTGCATTGTCAAGGAAGAACAGTTCTTCCAGCTGGAGAGTAACGGGAGGGTCAAGCAGTGAGTGATCCTCTAACAGCACTGATCTGGTGTATCAGTGCCTCCATACCTCTCCATCCCTGCTCCCAGGAGAGGATAAGCTTTAGTCAAAAGAACAGATGAGGTTTTTGGCAGGGCTCAAGTATCATTCTGGTTGCTGAGGGATGCTGGCAGTTAGCCATTAAACCCTTGCACAACCCAATAGATTACACCATTAACCCTGTAGACTCTTCTTCTAAACTGCAGTAAGGACAAGTCATCCAAGGATTTATCTTGAGAGTTCAAGGTAACAGAATAGAGATGATAATACTATTTGACTGAAGTACTTGAGGAAGCAGGGATAAGCACACTGAAAATAAAGTCAGATGGAAGTAAGAACCCAGACAAAGAATCAAGAGAACAGCAAGATCAAAATCATTTGACTAGGTTCTACTGAGCAAGCTTGGACAGTTTTTCAGTTACTGGAGCAAATCCAAGACATTTACTCAATTCCAATCCTGACATGGGGAGTCAGGAGTTGTTTTGTTTTACTGTTTTTTTTTTAAACAAACAGAGAAATAAAACTTTTTGCTGAAAAGACATACAAGCTATTTTGTTCCAGCCAAACATTCTGGTTTTCTTTCACTTTATGCTCAGTTAAGGAATTCACAGCAAGGGTGAGTAAAAATGAAACAGTTAAATATTTCTTAATATGTTCTTTTGAGAGCATTTATTACCATAACCTGCGATTTGTGATACAGTCTACTTCTCCAGAAAACTTCTGTTATTAACTGGAGGCAAGTTGAGATAGTTTTTTCAGAAACATATTACCCTTTAAAAAAAAACATTAAAAAACCCTTCAGATTTACTAGCATCCTAGCTTGTTAGGTTCTTAGAAAAATCTACTTCTGCAGTTCAATGTAAATAAGAAGGAACTAAAACTGTATTTTGATTTTGGGGAGGTTAAACACACTCTCATAACACACTCTCATTCTTCACACAAATCTAAGTAAATTCTGGATCTGTGTAATCATGGGTTCCTTGGTCATGCCCTACCCAAATCTCCATCAAGAGATGTGCAGCAGTCCTGCCTCTGTGAAGTACTTCAATAGAGAGTTCTCCGAATCATCTCTTCAAGCATCATGCACGAGACCAACACCCTGCCTAACATGGTAGAACAAGCCCACGGACAATGGATTTGAGTTAACCTTTCAAAAGTGAAAATATAAAAAATAAGAAATTCAGTGTGTATTAACTCTAAATTCTGCCAAAACATCTGCTCCATGAAATTCTGATCACTTAAAGTTTAATCTCAAAATGCATGGAGTCCTATACTGTTGCAAGAACATTGAGATTTGCATAAAGCCACTATTACTCTGGCCTGAAAATTAACAAAAACAAATTAAATCAAACTTAAACCTAAACATCCTTTCTTTCTGTTTTCGGTGAAAAAACTCTCAGCTTCCTTCTCAACTGTAGATAACAGCAGTAGTGTTCATTTTCTAACATGGCTTTTGTCAGTAAGAAGATCATCAATAAAAGTGATTAAATAGGAAGTTTTTATAGTTAGGAGCCAAACATACTACCACAGAGTGTTATATCAAAATATCTTGCCATGATTTAAAACTGAGATATTTCAAACTGTGATAAGTGAACTCCCAATAACTGTGTCACTGTGAGCTTGGTCTACAAGTCTTTTAACCTAATGGAGTGTAAACCTACTCTCAACTCTATCATTTCAAGCCAATTTGCAGATGAGTGAATACATGTTGCGTTTAAAAAAAAATTATAGACCACATTGCTTAATCTGTCAAAATAACGTTAGCATCTGCTGGAACTAGCTAAGGAAAACTTCCTTTGTCTCAAGAGCTGAAGTTTCCCATTGAATGGTTCCCCTTTCACCATCCCTCCCCCCCTCCCATCATCACATCACTGAAACTCAATTTTACTTCGAAGTTTTTTTGATTCTCATGTCTAACATGACATAAAATCTTGTAACTGTAGATTGTTTATTTCAGGCTAGCACTTGTAAACAGCTTGTAAACTTGCCCTGGACAAATTCTAGGTCTCAATAACAACATTTGCTCTATACAGATTCCTCTTAGTTCACACAACAACATTTTTAATCTCCTGTTCAAACCTGAGGTAGAGAGCTGACGTATATTATTAAATAGCCATGGTATTCTACCCCAGGGAAATGGACAACACATCAAAAATGCCTTTCTCTTTTCATAACAGATTTATTATGTTTATAAAAGGGCTATTTCAAGCATTAGATTTGAGACAGAAATCTAGTAAATGTCTTTAACCTTGCTGTCCTTTTTCAGAGAAGTGGTACTTCAATTCCTCTCCACAAGCACTTAAAAAACTGAACAACAGTGTACTGCTTGCCACTAATAGGGCTGCCCTTGCCCTTTTCTGATGGATAGCTGTCGCATGCTGTTATCTCCTTCTCGGCTGCTGAACATTCCCATTATGTTTTGTATTTCTCTTATCATGGAGGAAATGGCAATCTTGCAAAGACTTGAGTGTCTGCTGCAAAGCGCTGAGTGCCTTTGCTTTTAGCTTCTACTAAAGCATTGGGTTGCACCCACATAAATGAATAATACATGCTACGCATTCTATTCCCCCCATTTTCTGAGAAATGTAATTGTTACTATTCAAGGAGACCTACTTGTAATTTGATAATTTCACATCTGAGATTCGATGACTCTCTGAAGCCATGTCCAAAAGCTCTCACTGATGTGCAGTCATACTGTCGAATATCGCACAGCCCAGCATTCTCCAGCTCTGTAATTTCCGGAGCCTGGTCTTCGAAGTAGAGATTAAACAATAAATACCAGTTTATTAACTCATTCACATCCATTTACATTAAGCAATATATTTATTTCTCTATTCAACTAAGAAAACTACGTAACTAACAAAATACGGAGCCAGCTGAAGAAAGCCATGAACAGAAACATTTTTTACTGTTAAAGTGAATCTTAACTCTAGAGCTAGGCTTTTGGTCTTCTCTTGGAACATGAAGATTATGAAGCAGAGAAAACATTCATCCAATAAACAAACACTTGTGAATAGGTGTTCTGTTTTGTAATCTATAGCTCTTTACATTACACTTGCAGCATAAAATCTAAATAAAACTCAGGCCCTAGTAATAGGAACCACAAGGGTTACAGTTATACAATAATTTATAATGGCAATTTTTTGTTTAAAGAATAAACAAAACCATCTCAGGTAGAAGTTATTTCACGAAATAAACTGACAAATATTAGAACATTCAAAAATGAAGTAAAACTATTTGATTTGACTTCAACAGGAATCAAATATTTCTCTTTATTATTCTCTTACCTCTTTATTTGTTTTAAACAGGTCACCAAAATAAAAATACTGTTGCAAAACAAAATATTATCAGATTTTGTTTTGAAAGAGCTTTGACTTCTCTAGTACTTCTCATATTTTTCCAGTGTACCCGCTTAAGCGCATTTTTAGTGAAAGTCTTATCTACTGGGAAAAAAACCTAACCTGCTCAGCAATATTTCTGCAACTTTATTTTCTTCAACATCAAATCTGCTTTCACCACATCTAACAGTTAGCTTACAGAGATGTAACATCACCAAAGAGAAAAACATCCCACTTACAGTTAATAAACAGCATCACATAAACTGTAAAAAACTAAGGAATGGATGGATGTGGCACATCTTCCCTGAAGAAGACAGCATGTGGAAACATTGCTGATCTCTAGGGGCAATGCTCTGGATTGCAAACTCACTGAGTAGTAAATTTTTTAAATCTGACATACCAGATACTAAGCCCATGTTCTGCCCTTGGGAAACAAGAAGGCTGAATAGAAAACAATTATGGCTGTACCAAATTGGAACTAAACTGCCAGATAACAAACGGGGCCACCGTAGGGAATCCCTGTCAGTGTACAAAAGCAGGAGAGACAGGCAGCAAAATAAACATATGTTGCGCCAACATTGAGAATGTTATTTAAGTAAATCTCATTTTTTTCCCCCCACTTACCAGACAGTGTGCTGCAGTCATATGAGCTGTAGCCTTCAAAACATGCACAGCCCCATTCTGTACATTCCCCATTACCACTGCAGAGACTGGGACACTGTAATGCAATAAGCAGGCTCTCAATCGACCCTTCAAGTTCCTGTCGGTTGTAATTTATTTCTTCTAAAACTCTTTTCTCACATTCATTCTCTAGAAGAGCTAAGGAAGCTTCTGCCCAGCTGAGGTCATCTTTCAGCAACAAATCTTTAACACACATATTGACCGCATCCTCTATTCGCCGGCCAAGGTGGCCACCACAAGATCTTCCTATACTGGAATTGGCTATTGCCTGCTGGCACAGTAACAAAGCACTAGTCTCGGTGAGGCCAGAAGGTGTTGGCCAGGAAGGAAGGAACTTTTGGTCTGTGTCTGTGGCATGGTCCTCTGGGAAAAAATAACTATATCCCTCTAAATCTGTTTGGCTAAGACTTTGGAATAGAAACACCGGATGGTATTCATAGTAATTTTGGCGCTTTCTCCTACTTGTAACAGATTTTCTTTTGTGAAGGTGACTACTGTAATGGTGAGAATTTCTTCTAATGTCTGAGCTTGAAGTTCCTTCTCTTTCTACACCAATATTTCCCACCGAGGTTGCAGAGACATGTGTGTTTAAAAGTAATGCTTTGTGAAGTTTGGTTTGATTATCCTTCCCCTGCGGAAGTGCAGATGAACCCATTTCACGTGCGGACGAACGTTTCTTTAAGCCTCTGACAAGATCAACAGGACTGAGATATTCAGCAGTGACATCCAGTCCTGGTATCAAAGAAAGTAATCTACCATTTTCACTTTCTTTACAAGACAGAGGAAGTTCTGACTTGGAAACTGTCTCTAGTTTATTCACTGATTGAAATAATCCAGCATCTTCAAGTGTGCAGTCGCAGAAGACTATTTTTCTGGAAGATGTTAAAGAAGCAGGTATCTTGTCAAACAAGCTATCTCCTGGTGAAATTCTAGAGAAGAAAGAAAAAGATGAAACTATATCTGAACTATTTTCATTGGTTTTGTAAAGCATTAACATTTGGTTTGCTTTTTGTTGTTTCATACTTCTACAGCATAGACAACAGGATCTGCAGCATACAGCTGTATTTAAGGACCTCAGTTAAATCACAAAACCATGAGAGTAACTTGCAATAGAAGAATTGAGAAAGTGGATCTTTTCTGTGTACCTTGATACTTTGTTCAAAACATACTCAAACTAATCTTAAGTCACATTACTTAAACACTAATTTGGCACTTCAGTTACAATTTGCTCTAAAAATAATTACGGAACATACTGATGACATTCTAACATTAATTGAAAAAGTTAGGAAGCTTTTTTTTTTATTATTTCAACAAGTTTTTAAGAGTGTGAAGGAAAGGTTGAACCAAAAGTGATGACATTTGACTGAAACAGAAGTATTTTGTTACCTCCATTCCTTAATAAAAGAAAAAGGAACATTAGCAAGGTTTGGGATTTCCACCCCACTTGCAGTGTGATAGTCATTCTCTGCATTTCCGTCAAAGGTGCCACAGAGTCCCATTGTATGTCTGTAATCTGAACTGGGTGCCCTAAGTGTTAAGCTCATTCCCCATTCACTCACATCAGCTCGAACGAAAGCTCCAGAAGAAAACAAAACCTAAAAAGAGATTGATGATATCATCATGAGAAACATTATTTGTATTTTACCTAATAAAATCAGGTATGTTTGTTGGCAATTTGAAAAGGCCAGGCATATAAAGACATCCCATTAAATTCTGGCTCTAACTACTCTTGATCAGAGAAATTTTGTTATTCGTTCTCCTTGTGAAGCCCTGTAAATAAAAATCCTATATATCTCAACCTTAGCCAGCAGGTAGGTGGTGCACTACAGGTCCATAAACTTAATCCATCATTAGCAGGTACATTGCGGAAGGTCAGTGGCTGCAAAACCATAGAGAATCAAAGATCAGCTGGGCTGCTCACTCTTCAGATGCTAGCATACGGAAAGGAGTAATTCTGGTAATGTGAATAGACCCTTTGGCAGCACCTTTCTCAACTTTCTTTTTGTCAGCTACAAGATTCCTCATGTTACTAGCTTAATACAGAATGACCTTCTACCTGCAAAGCTGATCCTAGATGTTCTAGATAGTAAATGTTTGAGAATGTTCTGAGCTATCTCATTTTAGGCAACTTTATGATCTCTTAAAAGAAATACTACAAGTCTCAAGAACAAAATCGGCTCCAACTTAAAATGTTGTTTCTATTATTAACTTGTACAAATATGAGTAAGTCCCTTAATTTTTCTGTTTCCTCAGTATCCTTACCTCTAAAGAGGGAGCAATTTAATATCTCTGTTGCCTAATGATGTCTTAATATCTGAAGTCTTCAGATGAATTGCTTCAGACTAAGAAAAATACTTAAAATATTATTATACCAATAGTCAAACCCAAGCTGAAAAGACGTATCTGTTTTTATGGCTTGCCTTCCAGACCAACAGAGTGATTAAAGAGCAGTTAAGTGTTTTGGTTTTATATTCTGCTTCATCTGAATTTCAGTAGAGTCCTACAGCAATTCTGTCTACAAAAGAAAAGCTACAGGAAATTGTAAAAGCAAATGTGGATGTTTTATCTCAGGGCCACACTCTCGAGAGAAACCATCTACAGTTCTAATTCCAACAACAATCATACTTGATTATCTGCATGCACAGTCTTCCTATATGACACTGGCATGAGCAAAACAGAGCACACAGAGGTCCATTTCGGAACAAAAGGGCTGCTAAATAAGCACATATTGAATCAGAAAACTGCACCGTTCACACAAGGGTGTGTGAATAAACTGTGACTGACAACATGGTTCCAGAAAGGTATGCATGTTGACACATCCTTGTTTTTGAGGACAACATCCTTCACTTACAAGCAAAACACTGACCGAAAGACTGTAACTGTAAAATAAACATTATGCTATTGCTTAATTGCAGAAAATAAAGCATGTTTAGTTCTAAAGTTGGTGTGAACTGGTAAAAAATAATTGCTGAGATAACAATCCGCAAGCAATTCTTCACTACTTACTGTTACTTTTCTTCCTAGGTAGGATTCAGTGATTCTGACATTGCTTCCTGTTGTGTCTCTACTTATTACAGTTAAGTGTGGCTGTGACTCACGTAGCTGACCACTGCACATGTCAAATGCAATTATATCACTTCCTTCTTTGGCAACAAAGCCACAGTTACAGGATGCTGGATGGTGAAGACTTCCACAGTCCCACTGGCGAACATGAACTTCAAAATCTCGAGACATACTCTTATAGAGAACAAATGTTCCTGTTTTAAAATTGTCATAGAGCCTGGAAACAAAAGAATAGTGTGTGATATCACTTTGGTTATAAAATAACAGTATCATCACATGTCAGAAACTTTGTATTTAAACAGTTTTCTAATATTTAGTGAGCTTTGATACTGCAACTTATTTTCTTGCATCAGAAAAACCAAACACCATCATACCTTCCTCCGTGCAGCTCTAAATCAGAAAAAAAAATTAAGCCTTTTCTACAGCTGAAAAGAAGGAAGAAAAGAAGGATTGCAAGTGTAGTATTCAGAGACAATAGTTGTGAACGGAAAGACAACCACGAAGCCACTGATTATCACAGGGAACCGGAGGGTGCTTCTCAACCTTTGTGTTTTCACAGCAATACACCTAGGCAGCAAGAGCAGTAAGATGCTTAACTGTGTGCATGCAGGGGGCAGGCACTGAAGGCTGCCTAAGTACCCTTGACAAAATGATTCAGAACATCACAAACTTTTAAAAAGGTCTGCTTTGTTAAGATGGAGATGAGGAGTGCTTATTCCCCAGGATTTGAAAATTAATCATAAATAGTGACTTCCTTTTTTTCCCCCCCGTAGGGTTAGCCATCTGTTCCCTGAAGCAAGGTTAGAATAGCCAATTTAATGATTCAGTGATGACAAGGAGAGGGAAAAAAAACCCACAAACTTTTGCTGCAAATTTAACAGCCTCTTGGCTACAAATGGCATTTGACAGTTAATTGCAGAACAGTGATTTGCTTTGTGTATCATGGGCCAGCAGATAAACTGCAGATGGCTACGCTACTGGGACTGCACAGGATTACTCGTGATTCAGTAAAGACAGTTCCTTTTCTATTTGTTTCCCTAGTTTGTAGAACAAATTAGCAACAGTCTTTTTCCTTAAAAAGAAAGTTCTTTCCATGCAGCTTCTAGCAAGACCATATCACAGTAAATCACTACTTCACAAGAAAGCTTGATCACAATGCATTGACGGTTAAAATGCCCACCGAAGCTATAACTTCCAATGAAGGAGGAATTGCAAGATAAGGATAATCCCAGTGACTTTATTATTATTATTATTATTATTACTAGTCACAGTGCTATCAAAGAAGCAACTTCAGCTTGTCTTCTCCCTTCTGTTATCAAGTTCACAAGACGAGTGGGGCTGTGGGCTGAACATCCTTATTTGGAGGCAATACATCCTCTTCTTCTCAGCTGGCCACTTGATAAAATGTGCTTCTGCTGAGCAGATAACATAAGTGTCCCAGATGTGCAACCTGTGTTTGTTTTGACACGTTCCATGAATTAGAAACACTTTGAAAGACAGAAGCATACCAAAAAAAACCATGCCAGCTGTGGCCAAGGAAGCTGTCTTCACTTTAGAAAGAAGGTCAGTGATGCGCAAGTGACAGCAGCGAGTAAGTCGCTTTCAACGCCGTTAGTGAACTCAGCACAACGTTACATAGACAGCAGGTAGCTTCTAGCTACGTCGTCCTTACAAGGATTCAGATACTGACACACAGAAATAGGGAAACTATGCTGTAGGTCAGAAACATCTTTGCCTCATCAATCATTTTATCATTGTTCACATTTAATAACATCTCTGTCTTTCATAGTCAGACTGTACAACAACCACTCCTCCCTTGGCAGACTCTTGTAAAAGGAAAATACTCTGTTTGCTTCACTCTTTTGCCACAATCCCGAAACTTGCATATAGAAATACAAACATTACAAACATCATCATCACTAGCAAACTTTTACCAACTAAAGCACGTTTATCCTTACTGTCCAAGAAAGAACGTAAAATACAGAGTGCAGTTGTGGAAAACTATAGCTAACTTGTATTACCAACACAGATTTAAAATAAATAAATAGATAAATAAAACACCCCCACAAAAAAAATCCCAGCACACTTAAAATTAAGAACAGTAATCCAGCCATTACCTTCCATCAAATGTAATTATATGAGGGTCAGTAAATGAGTAGCAGTAGGCAGTGGGTAGATCCTTTACTGTAATCTTCAAAACAAAGAAGCATATAGTAAGCCATGTCAGATTAGGAAATAAACAGACAGACTCAGGCACATTATTTATCTTATGAAACTACTTTACATTCTAATAAATATATTATATTATACTTTTAATCAATCTGAGTAATTATAACAATATTAAAATGAAAAAAAAATAATTCAAATGGAAATGCAGCATTTCAATGCAAATAAAGCAATGGAAAATTGACCACTTAGAAATCTCAATGTGAGTCAGCAACTCACAACTGAAATAGAAGCTTCATTTACATCAGCCACATTTCTGGTCAGTTTACAGAGCTTAACATGAAGATTCTTGACCTGTGTGCTTTCTGGAACATAGCCATTCCACAAGAAATTCTCACTGGATACAGGTTCGATTGCAATTCTGGTAATTCTGTCTCCATCCTGCATAAAGTCTGTCACAGCAGTGAAATAAATTACAGCTTGACTACAGATTCTGTTATTGCAGGGTTTCTGGAGAAGATCCACGTGACAAGAAGAAAGAGCCAAGTTTAAACCTAACTGCTCTTTACCTGTTTTAATAAAAACACATCATTAGAGAGTCTTCCTTTAAATAAGACACATTTTGTATACTACTGTTAATACAGATACTAACTTATTTACAAGCATTTTCATAAATGAAAAATAACTATGCATCTTCCTTGGGTTTGGTCATGTAAATGTCGCTCTCTATATCTTCATACACACATGCAAGAAAATGGTTTTGAATTTTCCAGTTTGAGAGCCAAAAATCATGACAGTCTTGCTGATGTGACATAAAAACGGTTGTCTGCATAGGCAAGGCTCCTCCTGGGACTCACAGGACTTGTGCTTGAGAAAGTACTACAGGAAACTACAAGAGTAAAAAATGAGGACTTCACAACTGCGTACACAATACCTGCAACATAACAGGTCAACAAAATGAACTGAATTATAAACTTTGCAAGTATTAGGGTATTCTGTCTATTTAGGTTAAAGAATATGGCTCCGATATCCACAGCTGCCAAAAACACCTGCTAACTTCAACAAATAAGTGATTATGGGCCTGTTCTTCCATGCTTTCAGCAGCAGTATAAACAGCCTGTGAATATTTTGTTTTAACATTTTAGAAAGTACTTTACGATTTAACAGCTTCTCCAAAGAAGCAGACCAATGGGAATATTTAAAACAAACCACATTACACATACAAAATGCAACAAAAATCAGGATAATACTTACCTTCATCAACAGTATTTAATGTTAGTGAGATTTTGCAGTCACTTTCAAGCTGGCTAGACTCAGGACAAGGAATAGGAATGCTACTTTCTATTGCCAGTCTGTATTCCTTCCCATCTTCTGATATATCATATGTTTCTGGATGTATCTAGCACAGAAGAAATTGTACTTTTTAATGCAAGCTTTGTGAATAAACTACAGCACTGCTTACTAACCAGCTAGGAGTACAGTATAAAAAAAATGAAGAGATGGAATGGCACGGTGCCTGGCCTGCTCCATTTGATCAGGCTTATCTAGATGGTCTGAAGAGCTGCAGCATACTGGGGAGATGATGAGGGCACAGCAGCAAGAGTCGTGAAGAGGTGAGAATAAGGGGCAAGGATAAGGAAAAGGCAGGATTAAAAGCTAGCTAAAAAGGTAAGGGATTAGCAAACCATATTAACACCACAAAAATGTGTTCTCTGGGTAACTTCTGGAAGCTAAAATACAAACAGTTTGGTGTAGTGTATGGGCGGAAGGGAAGGGGAAGCTACCTACAGGCAACAATGTCCCAAAAGAATTTGGAAGCACCGTATTTCTCCTGGGATTTCTCTCCCTAAACTTACAACACATCTCACTATAGATGCATAACCAAAAACGCAATTACAGATGAGTAACAGAGGCCTGCAACTGAGTGCTGCACGTTGGGTGAAATCCTGAGCGCGGCCTCACAGGAAAACAAAAATAACGCACTCACACTTCACGCTGCGCACTACAGACCTGCACTTACATGAGATAAATCTGGGCCCTGATCCTGCAGAAACATGAGCTCAGGCTTAACTTTATGGAGGGCAAATCCTTAAGTCAATAGGACTACTCCCAACATGTAATGACATGCAGTATGTCTTTCCGGGACCGGGATCCTGCTCCTGGCCAGCAAATGGGTCCCTATAGCTATATCAACAGTAGGAATTAAAATGAGTTTGGATCTTGGCCTCTGACCAATAGGCATGGCACAGCTCATGTCCCAGTGTCCTTCTCTAAGCCCAGACCAGGTTGGCCTCACCCTTCCCTTACCCCCACAGCCAGCTGGGAAGAGCTGTGCCTGGGGAAAGCCCTTTGGCATAGGCCAAAATCACGCCAGAAAGGGCAGCATCAGTTAAACATAATGGAGAGAGCGTGCCGGGGCTCAGGTCTGAGCTGTGGCCCGCCTAGTTCACAAACACAGCGTCAGAGCCGACCCGAGCTGCTGGAGATCAGGGTTTTCTCTACACTGTTATGCCGTGTGTGAGCTGTCAATTCAGCATTCCGGCACCTTGAGTACGTGGGGAGCACAGAAACAACTTTGACTCTTCTGCTTTCCGACAAATTTCACTACAGCCAACAACACGCTCTATTACTTCACAATTAATATATTTTGAGTGCTTTCTAGTCAGAGGACAGACTGCTGTAGCAATACTCAGAAAGATTCCTACTACAATAAAGTAAAACATCGTTTTCTTTCAAAATTACCTTAATGCCAGCAAAAAATTCCTTGCTCTCAACAGAAGAGCTTTGTATATCTGGCTTCTCCATGAAAAAAGCAGAACTGCTACAGTAGACCTGTAGGGCAAAACCAGCATAACAGAGTACATTTTTGGCATGAAATGGACACGTCAAGACAAAACCGAGCCGGCAGGGGTGAGCGTAATAGATTCATCATGCCCAGTCTTCTGTTTGCACCAGAAGTTACCAATTGCCAGTGGTGCTGCATAAGTAAAGCGCAGAAACAGATCAAGCATCCTAAGATCTTTTCGTGGCATAACCCACCAGTGGTGCCGAGATTTCTTCAACTAAAGGCCACATCCAAACCATCTTGTGGAAATGCATTTCGTATTTTATTAATGTTATTTACTTCTTTTTGTCTGTTTCACATTTGTTGCCTTTTAATTTTGTTGAGTGCTCATTAGATCTTGAATTACACAAAACAACCATCCCCTCCTCCTCCTCTTCTTACTATACTTTTTTTCCTGGTATAATGGGCCTGAATAATATTTTTCAACCTGAAAAATTTAATGTGATTTCCCTCCACTGAACCAGACACTGCGGTTTTGTTTTGGTTTTCGTTTTGTTTTTTTTTTTTTTCTTTATTTTGCTATATCCCTTTTGAGATGTGTTGACCACACAAACAATATTTGAGACCCTGAGAAAACCAAGGATGCATACTAGCAGCAGGTAGTTTATGACTGTACCTTTCCTTTTGACTGTCACTGAACTAACACTGTCAGGCAACTATTCACCAAGTCCCCAAAGGATTTTTGAGGATTAGCAATTGCTTTTGTTGTCCATAAGCCATCCAAGCAGCCAGGCTTTGGCATGAACACACACACACACGAACCACGTGCTTTTTTGTTTTATATTTTGGCCAGGAAAAATTAACCCGTATTTGATATATACAAGTAGAAAGCTTATTGATTTTCCAATGCTTAAGTTTCTCAAAGTTACTGTGAGAACCTAGATCTTGATTCTGCTACCATGCAAGTCGACAGGTACTCCCACTGCTTTTGATGGCAGAGATTAAACCATTTAAATCCGACCCTAGAGACAAAGCCACCAAGTGGCAGCTCATTATTGAATCAGAGGAAAGAAATCTACCTAATGAATCAACAACCCAGCTTCTCACAACCTCTGGCTCTTATAGTCTCTCACCTAGATGCAGTTGCATCCAAATATCCTCTTAATTTACAGTATCAAACAAAGTCACAGTAGAGGGTGAAGAGAAATAATAGATTTACTAGGATATGAAGAGATCATAATATTTTTTAACATACTCTGTCTCCAAGTCTGACGTTTATCCCATCTAGTTCTAGAAGTGAGAATGTATGAACTGCTGTCTCATGTTTCAGTTCTTCTTTGATACCTTCAGGAGAAAGTCTTGACCAAATTACAACGAATCCGACTGAGGTATTTGCAAAAGGAGCACCAAAGGTACACCTTAGGTAAATGCTGCCTTTGATCAACTCTGCTACAACTTCAGGAATGGCTGGTAGTGGTGGTGACACAGGTGGAGATGATGAAGGAGCCAGTTTACCTAGTTAAACAGAAGCGTGGTTTGTGCTTTTTATTCTGTGCAAAACCAGTATCAGATAAAATGACATTGACGTGTATTTTCTCAATTATATTTACCTTTTTCTGTATGTGGAAATCTTAAGCAATTGCTTAGAGAATTAGAGAAAGCATGTATGTTCCTTTTATTAATTATTATATGGAGAAAAACTCTTTATCAGCCTTTGATTATATTCTAGCCCATAGGAAGGTGCTGAAGAGGGGAAAAGAAACTGAGGAAATAAAATGCAATGAATCCTTTTACCAGGCAGGACAAAGCAACGTGCAAAGGAATTTGCCTCAAAGAAGAATATTTTCTCTACTTGTAAAGGAAAAGGAAAAAAAAAAAGGACTATGTAAAAAGGAACAGAATAAGCAACAGTATGATTTGCAGATTTGTCTTAGATTTGACCCCCTGAAGAATGAAAGTCATCTGTAAATCAGCAAAATTAAACTTACTTTTCAACATTTTGATACTTATTCTGAACATTATGATGAGAAACTACGTTTGTAATCCAAGGTCTGAAATTACCTCCAAACTGCTCATTTTGCAACAGACCAATACCGTCGATAACACAAACATGTTTTTATTCAAGACAAAATACTACTAAATGTTGACATTACTGGGTCACGAATGCAAAGAGAATGTTGAAAATCAAAACAAAATACTTACTGCTACAGATGCCTTGAATTTGCATTCTATCAGGATCACAGGTCTGTGGCTTTGCATCTGAAACAACTATAAATTGTTCTTGATTCGTATATTCACACACATAGACAGTAGGTACACCAATGCTCTTAAATTACTGACCTATGTTAAAAATACACCAAATTTCACAAGACACTAACTGAAGTGCAAATTAGCAGAACAAAACAATCTTGTAATCCGATTCATATACAATTATGGTAGCAGTCAGTACAAAGCCTTGTGCTGGAAATCACAAGGAGATTGGCTACACCTAGGAGGAAGAGTACAGAACATTCTATCACCTCTACTTCTTTTACTACAGATGTACCCAGCCAATATCTACAGATGTTGTTACTGAATAAAAAGAAATTAAACTATTCTCTTGAATATATATTTTGTCTCCCTAAATCCATGTTGGAATGCTTATTCATTAGCTGTAACCCTGGACACCCAAACTCAGAGCAGACCTGCTTCGAAAAAAATCTTTCTTACAGGGGCCTACGAAAAAGTGCTTGTGCACTGCTATTGGTTGCCTCTTTGAATGTTATTTAAAAAAAAAAAGTGGAACTTTAATTAAACATTAAAATACCACAGAATTTGTAAAAGGAGTAGAAAGCACTTAGTCACTCCACTCTAACTTAAAAAGGCAGCAGTACTGGCAACTCTCTGTATCAAAAAGAATGAAAAGCAGATTTTGATGTTTCACTCTTCAGTGAAACGACGTTTGAATTTCTTAGCATATACAGGAGGGACTGTTTGAAAATTTGCATGAGGTGCTTGCAGCTATCAAGTGTTAAAGAGAAAACACAGTACATAGGGTAACCTAGATCCAAAAAGCAGGAGTGTAACACACTTCACATGAAAATATCATCTTAAACGAGGGCTTTTAAACTCAAAATGTGTATCAGATTTACAGTATTCAGCAGAGCCAAACCAGAGTTCTATTTCTTGCCAACTTTGTTTTAAGGCAGTAAAAATTTGCTAGCTCACTGCCTATGGTTTTTATATTCTCCTTCCTCTTCATAAGCCATCATCCAAAGTAAATGCGAAGTCATATAGTGCAGGAGTTCTTCCTTGCTTCAGTCACTTGCATGCTGAAATGTCCCATTTCTGGCATTTATTTTCTGTCAATAAAGTCTTGGAGAATGCCTTAACAACTGGACCTAAAGGTATAATGATGGGCCAATAAAGCACCAGAAAACCCACCGATAGTTTTGCTATTCAGCTTTTGAAGGCAGTCAGTAATAGAGAATATGACTTAGAGCAATACAGTATATGATGCATAAGAATATTGGTAGAATTTTTACAACAGCGTGTTATATAAGCTAATAAGAATCTCCTACTACACTAATTTGTCACTACTTCACAGTATTTCTAACTGTAAGGGTTTACTCATGCCTTCCTTAGGTCACCTAAAACATCTGGCATGAATAATGAAATACTGAAGTTTTGAGCTGTGAACACAACACACTTTTGCAGCACAAGGGTCCAAGACAATGTTGAGACATTGCAAAAGGACTCCAGTTCTTTCTCATCATACTAATAAAGTGTTTATCAACAGAGCATTTCTGCATTGAATTTTCTTCTATCAACAACATGTACACTCTCCAGAATGACGATAAAAGAGTTACAGTAGGAAAAATATTCCTAACGATGCTGAACAATAATTGATATAAATACAGTTTGGTCAAGTTCTTAAACAAAATTTACTCTGACACGCAATTCTATGCACATTCAGTAACGGGTATTTGCAGAGTGAGTGCCACTGTAGGTACTCTGAATTTTGACTTCTAGCTGTGCCATATTCCCACCTCATTATATGGAAAATTTCAATTCTTAAGTTTTTGGGCTTTGAACAACACTTGAGTGCTAAATGTAAGTTAAAAAGGGGTGGTGTGAACCCAACTTACCATACAAAATCATTCTTCTCTCATATCAATACTAAAAGTAAGGATTGCAAGAAATTTTAGCATGTATAACTATTTCCAGACATTTCTGCTCAGCCAAATATCAGAGAAACACACTTACTAAAAGCCACACACACTTAGTTGAGTTAGAGCATGCATTTTCTCACCTTCTGCACAATACCCCATGCATCCTTGGGTGGGCTGCAGTAAGTAAACAAAGAAATCTCCACAGTTCCTCACACTGACAGGAATTCGGAAAAGACAGCAGTCTTTTGAAGTGCTGAAGAAAAACTGCCATGTAGCACAAGCTGTTAACTGCTTGATCTCACCAGGTCGAGGCATGGATTCTGACTCCCTCAGAGACAACCAAACAGGGGCTTGAGTACCACAGCGATTCATCTTCAGCACCAGAGAAAAACGTCAGAAAATGGTTAGTGCTATATCAAACTATTGCTGTGCTTTAGTGAGAGGCACACATGTATCCAATTAACTTCCCACATGAGCTTTTAGCAGAGTTTAGACAGTGCAATTGAGGGCTCGCTTACTTTGCTCCTCAAGGTTGAATACAAATACACACAAAAGAGACTTAAGTCCTTCTCTGAGTCTAATGAATTTGGGTTTCTAAAGATGGACTATAATGTAGTACCTGAAGAACTTAACCAGGAGCCACACCTGAGTGTTTTGCTTAAAAAAAGCTAACAGTTGTGTTAAGGCTTAATGAGTTTCTCTACACCCATTAACCTACAGTAACTGACTATGTGAATACAATGAGAGCACAGCAAATACAGAGCACAACATATATGCAGTGAATATCAACTAAAGGTGTTAAAGCTGCCACATTTTATTTGCACTTTGCCATAAATTCAAGGCTCAGCTAACCTCCTGGATTTCATCTAAGAGACATGGCCAGCTGACACAAGGTTACTGACTTGCAGCCTTAGCCAAAAATGCAGGACACCTGATAAGCCCTGTCTGTCTTTCAGTTCCCCACCTTTAGATGTAAATATGCTTGTAGCACTCCTGTAACAACCACAGTGGCTTTGCAGCAACCCTAAATCCTTTGGCGTTTACAAAGCAGTGGGCTTCACAAGGTCTGCTGTTCAGACACCGACTCCACATGTGATTGAAGAGGGCTGTTGTTCCCTCTCTCCCAAACAAAAGCCTTGTTCTGCACTCTTCCTCACAGAGTGAGAAGCATGCTGTGGAATAGACCCCTTCACCTCTCACCACTGCGGTGATCTGAGGTCTTCAGGTCAAGGAAGCTGCCATGCAGGTCACAACTTAACAGCAGTACCAATCACGGTAACCGAAGCGTAAGTCTGATTAAGCAGACATCAGAGTTTACCAGTGGAATACACAAAAATGAATCCTGAGAAAAGGAGTCAAAGAAGGAATCTGGTTCGCAGGTTACCAAAATGAGTTAAAGATCACCTCCTGTCTTTCATGTGCTGCAGAAAGCCAACTGAAGAGAAACACCTAGAAGGACATGGTGTGTTAAGGCCAGCGTTTGGAAAATTTTTACATGAAAACCATAAATCTGAAACTGTGAGATTTTGAGAATCTCATCTCCTTCATACATCACCTCAAGTATTCTTTTCTTTAACCTGGTAGTGACCTAGTCTCAGATCATTTTGTAGAGCAATGCAGACTCATTGAGCAATCAACCATCTCAAAAGTACACTTTTCTTTCTTTACCTAGAATATCTGAGCCCACCATCAATCCATCGGACAGACAGAACTAATGAGAAGTAGATAGAAATGGGATGGGTTGTTTAACAGAGTCAGATTCTTTAACGAGGATTAAATATAGCTATAATAAAAGTTCTCCTAAAGGGAAAGAAAGGATGAAACTTCCCAAAAAAGACATCCATTTTAGTTTGGGTTTAAGGTTTTGACTTCGAGATTTCAAAACAAATGTCTTGTTTTTGTCAATAGATGCAAAGAAGCAGATGTCAATGCATAAATTTAATTTGCTGAATAAGTTTTGAATCAATCTCTTTCCAACTGTAATTATCTGGACTCCTCTGTATTAGGATGGTAGTCTATTTTTACCAAGTATTTACTAAGCACTGAAAACTTTGTTCAGATTTCTAAAACTTTCCTAGATGATCTGAGTGGGTATCTTGCTAGTTTGTTCTGAAAGACACATTGCTTTTTCCCCTCGTTTCTCATGCTCGTTCTTTGCATAAAAGTATCCATTTTGAGAAAACACAACTAGGTAGTTAATTTGTTTATATTAAATCTAATAGAAAGAAAGTCCTTCAGGAATCACATTTTTCACCAGTTTTTTGCAATACAAAAGCCTGGATAACAGCTGCCTCTGAAACACAGCCCTTCAAGTACTTGAGTCAGCTACACATTAAAGGTACTTTATACTGCTATAAAGATTTAATAATAAATAAATAAATAAATGAAAATAAAACGGGATGCTATAAACTGAATTTAATTTCATTACTATGTTTTAACTGTTTTGTATTCCGTTAAAAATGTTTCATGGTTGGGCTTTTTTTTTTAAGAAACTGTGACTAGGCAATTTGAATTCTTTAGAAAAAGACTCTAATGACATTTTTATCTTTTTTAAACAAGGAAACGTTTTAAAATAGGAAACTACAAAGATACATCTCCTTAGAATATAACTATCACAGACATTTTGGAACAGCTCCAAAATCAAGCATTACAAGTCTAAAGTATTACATATTCCAAGTAATTCTTGAGTTTTAGGGGACTTGCAGATGACAAGACAACTAATCTTCAGTTAGCTCTGTTAATTCAAGTAATTTTAGGAGTAATCTCTTCTCTCTAACACAATCACTTTAAAAGCTCCACAATTACTGGATTCATGTGGCTGCAAGTCTTTATACTCCTTTCACAAGGCCTTCCTAAGAGACTGATCATCACAAGGTTTCAGCTTTACAACATGACATCCCTGCTACGCTGCCACTGAGAAAATCTTCTTTAGCAGTGACTACAAATAACAGTTTTTGAGTGCTCTAAGAGGGGTGTAATTCATCACCCTCTGCTATTGCCCATTCAATGTAAAATTGTCCAGTTAAAACATTTCAATATACTCACATATTTAGAGAGAAAAGGTGCTCTGCATTCTTCCACATCAGTCTCCATAACCATATTCTTTTTTTATACCTATCCGATTGAAAATTTCTTAAAAAAAATATGTATTTCTCATAAACAAGTGAGTTGTAACAATACCTCCACACACTTGGTCGGCATCTCAGCAGGCTTATCAAAAATCATAAAGCGATACCATCCTGGTGTTAGGGAATGGTCACATATTAAATCCTGAATAGCTGATTGCTGGAGATGGGATGAATCAAAATCAACGCTTCGGTAGGGGCTCTGTAGGAGCTGATGTCCACCAGGAGAGCATTCAAGAACTGTGGACCAAGAGTATTTTGAGTATCAAGATGGAATGCCCAACAAGTGTATTAGAAAAGATGCTAAGCATTTTCAACTGGAACATATGGAGATACTGCAATATGCTTTAAGAACACTTTTATTGAAAACATATTCAAGTCTCAGTAACAACAACAAATAGGTATGTTAGCATTCTAAAATTTAATAGAATCCATCATGTGGTAACTTTCCCATGTTTAAATGAATAACAAATGTAAATTAATAACGACATTAGGCATTTACCCCAGATGTAAAAACAAAAGAATATGTTTATACTTTCTCTCCAGATTTTGACTTTCTAGTTCCACTGATGTTTATGAAGCGTAACAACCTCAATAAAAATAGGGTGTCAGATATACGGGAGGATGAAAATCTTACCTCAGGAGGAGTAAGGATTATCTAAAGGTCTTTTGCAAATAGGCTACCACTTTACAGGGTTCCTATGCTTGAAATGAAGAATTCCCTCAAATGGATGAGAGGTAGTTCCATACAGTTTGCATGTATACATGCAGACCATAGCAAAAGTGTGTATGGAAATAGGTAAATATGTAGTTATACATTTTAAGTCAATTGACACGCTAAATTTCAACAAAGCAAACAAAACTGACAAACATTTTTGGACATCTAAGCGACCTTGTGGTCTCAACAACAAATTCAAAATTGCTGGCAGGTAAAATGAAGGATCAGAATCTGAAGAAGTCTTTACAAGAGTTATTGTGTTTTTCTTTAAATGCAGACTCATTCAGAAACAAAGCTAGAATTTGTAAGACTGATCTTTGGAAGCTGAATTGACTCCTGTCAAAGACAGTGACTGTAAAAGTTCCGGCTAATGGCATATTTGCATGCAACATACGGAACAGCCATTC